CTGCCCCATTCTTCTGAATGTCCCGTCACTTTCGTGCCGAGCTGACGAGCCAGCGCCGGCATCGTGTCGTTTGTCAAAATCTCGACGCTCCACGCCATTGGCGACAGCGACATGATCGAGACGGTCGACCTCGTCATCTGGGGCGCCGCCGAGAGCGCCGTCACCATCATCGCCGCCTCGATCCCCGTGCTGCGCGCCATGTTCCAGGGCCCCAGGGCCGCCGGCGAGCCGCGCATGGGCACGCGCGAGAAGGCGCTGCTGCGGGCGCCTCAACCTGTTCTCGTCGCCTTCCACGGGCGGGGGCACGAACACGGGCACGCAGACCAAGCCAGACAAGGGCGTCGCAAGAGGCACCAATAACAGGAACAGAGGCAACGTGGCGAGCACAACCAAGACAGCAGCAGCAGCAGCAGCAGCAGCCGGCATCACGTCGCCGCGAGCCGTGTGGGGCGTGGGCCCGCGGGAGACGGCGCACTTTTTCGAGATGGAGCACTTTGGGCGGCGGGGCAGCAGCCGTGGCGGCGCGGGGGAGGACCGTGGCGACGACATGGAGCATCTGCGGCCGGTGAGCGGGGATCTGGAGCAGCAGTCGAGGGCCGGCAGCAGTCCGAGGGGGTGGGCCGGGTCGCGCGACGAGGAGGAGGACGAGGGGGAGAGCGAGAGGCGGACCCGAGGGGATGGATCAAGGGCAGACGCGCTGGAGGGCGCGTCGCGCGAGGTGCGGATCGTCATACGGGAGAACCCCATACGAGTCAATAGGACCCTGTCGATGAGCTCGGGGGGGTTGTGAGGGTGGTCTTACTGATAATAATGATATATATATTTGCTCACGCGCTGGCCAGCACTTCACGGAAGGATGTGTATGCCTTTGGTATCTGGTGACCTGTGTAGCCCAAGGCTTGTCGAGCCAAAGGAAATACTTGACAGCAAAGAAGTGACGCTCATGATGAGAGATCCTGGGTCCTGGTCCTGGTTCTGGGTCGTAGCGCCTCGAACTAGGTATCTACAGTGGGAACAAGAATAGGCCCGACAGCTCGGCCGAGGAGGGGGAGATGAGGGGATTCACTTCAGTCTGAGTCAAAAGGAAACGGCGACAATTGTGTCGATATTTTGTGTCGATATTTTGATGGAGCATAGAAAAAAACCAAGACCGATCATTTCCGACGACGAGGCCTGATCAAGATGAAGCGCGACGTCTTGGCAGTCCGGGAGAAGGCCTCGACCGTGTGATGAACAGAGGGAACGAATGTGACAAGCGGCTGTGTGCAATGCGAGCTCGGAGCTCGGCCGTCGTCGAAGTGGGTTTCTCTAGGAGGAGTCAAAGGAGTCATGGTGGGAGCGGATCAACAGCGCCATGACTCTGACGCGTGCAGTCTATGCCATGGTATGACTGACAGCTCCAGCGCTCGAGAGAAAGAATGGACCACAAAATGCCTTTCAGTACCTTGGGCTTGCTACGTGACAACGAGGCATAGTTCGCGCTGACGTACTGGTAAACTGGGATGCTCTCTCTTTGGTGGGCCATTGTTTTGTCGACCACTTGAGCTAGAATTCAGCAGGTCGTCTGACTTGGCGCTGTACAGGGAGCTGAAGACCAAGATTGAAGAGGCTTGCACGAAGCAACGATATACGGGAAGCATCATTACCATGAGCAGCATGTAGTCAAAGGAGCATACAGTACAGCAGCAGTACAAACATGAGCATACACAGTAGTACAGCAGCACAACAGCACAGCAGCCAAGGGAGCAAACAGTACAGCGGGCATACAGCCTCTCCCGAAAAATGCCGCTAACAGCAGGAATAGACGAGGCCGGCACGCGGGCCGCCGCAGACAGCGCGGCACTCTGGCTGATCCACACGCGATGGGCCTGCAGAGGAAGCAAGAAAAATGGTTCTCGTTACGTGCCGATGGGTCCCCGCGTGCAGAGTTTTCCCTAACGGCAGGTGGAGACGAGACAACATCGACCAGGGGAGACACCCCTTCAGTTTGTTCGAGAAAATTTCTCTGCGTGGTCAACGGCGCTCGACACTTTCCCATTGGCACGGAGACAGACCGGAGATGGATCGGACGCTGACATGAGGCGGATAGTCCGAAGTCTCGAGAGAAAACGCCCCCGTCTTTTGCCTCTTTGGCCTTGTTGTCGCTCCGAATCTTGAGTCTTGTGGATCCCGAGGCCGGTGAGCCCGGTGCTACCCGCGCCACCTACGCTGGCGAAGTGACCACGGCGTCTACGAAACTCGACCCAAGCCGTAGAGACCTGATAATGGCCAGCTTTGAACCACCCTCTGAAATCCTATTTTTCTGCTCCATGCAGCTCGAACCGCGCTCGCCCCGGCCGTGGGTCCCCTCTCCTCCGCCGGTGGGCCTCGATCGACTTGGCCCCGGCCTCTACCCATTGCCCATTGTTACTCATCGTACCATGTCCTGCTGTTCAATGTACATAATAGCTTCCTCCCTGCCTGCTCGCCTCCTCCTCCTCCTCCACGCTTGATCCCACATCATTCACACTTCATCATCGAGTTCCTCACTTGCCTCTTCCCCTCCTCCTCCTCCTCCTCCTCCTCCTCCTCTTCCCCGCCATGGAAAAGACCCCCCACACCTCCGAGGCCATGGCCTTCTCCCCGCCGAGCCCCGGTGCTGAGCCCAAGACGGACCTCGAGACTGGTGATGCCGGCCTCCAGCGCACCCTGTCGAGTCGTCACCTTCAGTTCATCGCCATCGGCGGCACCATCGGCACCGGTCTCTTCCTCGGTACCGCCGATGCCCTGAGCTCGGCGGGCCCCGTCGGCTCCCTGCTCGCCTTTGCCTTCATCGGCGCCGTCGTCTTCTCCGTCATGACGTCGCTCGGCGAGATGGCCACCTACATCCCCGTCGCCGGCTCCTTCACGGCCTACGCCTCGCGCTTTTGCGACCACTCGCTCGGCTTCGCCATGGGCTGGACCTACTGGTTCTCCTGGTCCGTCACCTTTGCGCTCGAGCTCTGCGCCGCCGGCCTCATCATCCAGTACTGGAACTCGTCCCTCAGCGTCGGCATCTTCATCGCCGTCTTCTGGGTCGTCTTCACCGCCATCAACTACATGCCCGTCCGCTGGTTCGGCGAGCTCGAGATGTGGTTCTCCTCCATCAAGGTCGTCACCATTGTCGGCTGGATCATTTTCGCCGTCTGCGTCAACGCCGGCGTCGGCGACGAGGGCTACATCGGCTTCAAGCACTGGAGCCAGCCGGGGCCCTTTGTCGAGTACATGGTCGACGGCGCCACGGGCAAGTTTGTCGGCTTCTGGTCCGTCCTCATCATCGCCGGCTTCTCCTTCCAGGGCTCCGAGCTCGTCGGCATCGGCGCCGGCGAGTGCCGCGACCCGGCCAAGAGCGTGCCGCGCGCCATCCGCGTCACCTTTTGGGGCATCTTCTGCCTCTTCATCGCCACCGTCTTCTTCCTCGGCCTGCTCGTGCCCTCGAACGACGAGCGCCTGCTGTCCGGCGGCAAGGACGCCAGCGCCTCGCCCCTCGTCATCGCCGCCCAGCGCGCAGGCGTCAAGGTCCTGCCCGACATTATCAACGCCGTCCTCCTGACCGCCGTCCTCTCGGCCGCCAACTCCAACGTCTACTCGGGCAGCCGCATCCTGCTGGCCCTCGCCTCCGAGGGCCACGCGCCCCAGTGGATCACGCGCACCAACCGCCACGGCACGCCACACTACGCCGTTGCCGTCACCGCCGCCATGGGCTTCCTCGCCTTCCTCAACCTCTCGGCCGACGGCGGCGTCGTCTTCGGCTGGCTCCTCAACATTGTCGCCGTCGCCGGCTTCATCTCGTGGTCCTGCATCAGCGTCTGCCACCTGCGCTTCCAGGCCGCCCTGCGACTCCAGGGCATCGACCGCGCCACCCTGCCCTACGCCGCGCCGCTGCAGCCCTACCTCTCGTGGTTCGGCCTCTTCTTCATCGTCCTCATCCTGCTGACCAACGGCTTCGCCGTCTTCATCGACTGGAGCACGAGCGACTTCTTCGCCGCCTACATCTCGCTGCTCATCTTCCTCGTCCTGTTCGTCGTCCACAAGGCCATCTTCCGCGGACGCCCTGTCAAGCTGTCCGAGGTTGACCTCGTCAAGGGACGCTATGACCTGTAGGATATTTTGGAAGGATTTTATTTCGGTTCTCATTGTCGGTTCTCGACCACAGACAGCTCGTCTGCTGGCACTTTAATGAATAGCATTTGATTTCGAGCGGCGGGTAGTCAAAATGGTGTACGATTGCATAGATAGCGGGATATAGACAAAATGATACCCTTTACCTAATGCCCGTCTGACGTTTTGGTGTCAAGAGAATGTGATAAAGAGGCAGTCAGTCAGAAATCGCAAGACAATATGACGAGACAAGATATCAAGACGCCAAGTTTAAATCACAAAATCCTTTAACAAGCCAACACTCCTGAACGGCAAACAACGACCTATCCATCCCTACAATCCAAGCACACGCTCAAAACACCAGGCTGAACACCCCAATCGCCCCCGCCACTAGCACAGGCACCCATTAGTATTTTATACTAATTGAACCTTTATAAATTGAAGTAAATCAAATTAAACCTATTATAATAACTTAATCCTATTAAAATAGCCTCTAATCTAACTTACTTGGTCGGTCTATAGCCGCAGCCCCAGTATCCTTCACCTAGTAATAGCCTAAACTACCTACTTTACGAGGTCTCCGCTGAGTATACTGACTGCCTGGCTTTCTGCGCTGATACAGATACTAGAAAGGATCAGGAGCCACCTTGGAGACCCCTTTAGCTGGAACCTAGAATGATATTAAAAGATGTCATCTCAAATTTATGTTATATAGAATATACGATAATAAAACTTACCTCGCGGGCATTGCGTAACACAAGTATTGCCTGGACCTAGGAGGTCATCGTTGTTACAGCAGTAGCTGGAACCAAGGGCTGGGTTATTCGGCCCAGAAGCCATCACTTGGCACCCGATACATACTGCCGCGCGTTTCGAGGGTTTTGGAAAACTGCACGATTTATAGCAGACGAAAGACGAGCATTCCAAACTGTTCTTCACCTGATAGTCCCAAAGCTCGGCCTCCCATGCATGGCACGACGCTGAAGCCCGAGCTGAGAATAAGAAAATTAAAGCTAGACTTTGGAACCTCATTATTAAAAGTGTAAACGAGATCTCATGGAATATTAAAAGGATGAAAGGTAGAGATTTGTATATAGCAAGACTTAACTTTTAAGTAGGTAGTAACGACTTATATAGATAATATTTATTAGACTTACCCCCCCCCCCTTCTAGTAATAGTCAATAATTAAGTTTAGTAATACTTTAATATCGTAGAGTATACTCTTATAATATAGGTAAGAGATAGTATACTATAATAATATTCTAATAATATAACTAAGTAAAATATTTATAGAGATAAAATACTAAAAATAATTTAAAGTAGATTATCTGTATTATATTAAGCTTGAATTATAAGAGAGGATAAACCTATAACTTAATAGAAGGGACTAAGAGCTTAAAAAAGTTAATTTATAATAGAGCTAATTAAAACACTAAAAAAGACTTAGTATAGAAAGCTAATTCAAATTATTGAACTTAATCTAGATCCTATACTATCTTATAGGGTACTTAACGTATTAAGTAAAGTAAAATGCATATTATCTAAGAGGAAACGTTATTAGAGTAGCGGATATAGGGGTAGAGGTAGGATAGTAAAGAACTAAATATAGTACTAAATAGCTTAATCTGCTACTATATCCTATAGGCTTACTTAGTTATTTTAAGTATTATAATATATATAGAATTCCTTTTTATATAGTTTTTAATAATAGAGGGGTAATATTATAGGTAATATAAGTATATAGCGCAAGCATATAATATAAGCATCCGATTCTCGTATTTAATAATATAAGTATAATAAAGTTGCCTAAAAATAAAGTTATAGTAGTATAACTATCACCTATTAATAGTTATATTATAGTTTTAGATCTTACTTCTCTAGTATGGCTCTATAGGGTCGCCTGACAGTATTAGAGGAGTAGTCCGATGCGAGCACGGGGGCCAATACCGAGGCTGCCGACACTCTATCCTTCGGTTGCCGAAACGATTGATGGAGAGGGCTCGTCCAACTCTCAGTGACAGCCGCACGACTTTTGAGCGTGGTGTATAAGTCCCGCTTACTAAAGTTGCGTCGAACAGTCCTGTCACTGCTTCGCGCCTCCATCAATACCATACCTACCGTGATAGGAGGCACCTGTGAATCCATGGGAATGGGCTAGCTTTGGGGCCTTGAGATCATGGGAGAATGGATATAAGGGCTGCGGAGCTAGCTGCTGAGGGCCACGACACAGATGTCTTCGTACCCTATACCTAACGATGGACTGCGGATATCAACTGCGGGAGAGCTATTTGTTCTGCTCATTCTCACGCTCTGGCATCAAGTACTCGTTCGCTCCCTAAGCTACCGGAACCAATATGACAGAAAACGACTTGCCAGAGGTTTGCGAGTAGGGTTTTCGCCTAGTTAATACCTTCTATTCCTAGAACCTATAGCGGAGGATCAAGCACCCAAAGGATGTTGATCAGGCTAACCCGATGAGCCGACCCAAGGCCAGGGCTTTTTACTTACTCAAGGGTGAACATGGCCTTTTTCAAAGGAAGCTAGCTGGGGTGGCGGAGGGTTATAAATAGGACCGTTGACGGGGTATTATGTGTGAAGAGGTCTACGTAGGCGCCAGGTTGGGGGCAGAGGGTAGTTTAGATCAGTACCGGAGTCTAACACTCAGACCATTCTTTGGTAGACTTGCTATATGCCCACTGCGTTCTAAGTATATGCGAACATATTCAGGGACCACCTCCGAAGCGGCAAACTTGTAGAGACCGTAGAAATCAGCAGTGTCTACATTGAGCACTATTTGACTGCTGGTTTGGCTGCAGCACTTGAAGTAGTCCGCTTAGCCGGACTGGAGAACAGCTAGTACTCAGCCACGCTACTATCACGGCAGTGGAAGAGGATCAGATCTATCATGGATATTCAGACGAGGTTCACATTGAAATGGACAAGGCTGGCCATATGCTAAAAAACTAGATCTTGCCCCGTCTTCCGTTCGCTAGTATGATCTCTCACACGCCTAAGTCCCTAGAAAACCGGCTTTCACGTTCTCCTTGCTCTCTCATGCCTCGATGTTGTTCACGTGCTATGAGCGCGGGCAGACAATCCCTGATCGACCGCATCTCCTTCTGTCCCTTTTCCTTTCATGCACGCAATGTCCCAGTATATCCTCTCTCTCAGAGTTGCTTGGACCCATTGATGTACTGTTGAATCTCGCTCGTAATGGAAGAGACAGGCTTCGCGACACTTCTATAGTACTCCGCCAATTCGCCGGCGGACCACTGATTCAATACAACAAATACATAGGCGGTCTTCAGTCCCTCATTGACTTCGTCATTACCGAATTGCTTCTTCTACAGCCTATATCCGTTAAGCTTCAGAAACATGTCTGCAGCTAGTAACGCAGTCCTTTTATTTCCATTCTGAACAGAATGACTGAGAATGATTCTTTCGGCAAGGATGCCTGCCAACTTAAACACGTCTTTCTCGCCGTAGTGGCAATTTTTGAGTAGTGAGTCGGCAGCAGACTGAAGCAGGATAGGCTGAGTCGGAGTAACACGTGTAACGTGAACCTGGTACAGACTTATGATCTGATTAGCGCTGAGGAAGCGAAGGACACGGTTGCCCCTGGAGAAGGACACGATGACGGAAAGTATGCCGAAAAAGAAGACTGTCAGTGTTCTGACAAGGAAGATTGCAGTTTGGAAATTGGATTGGATGATGGGACCTGGAGGGCATACCATTTACTATCAGTCAGCTAGAAAGACGATTCTTTGATAACCTTTAATATCTGCTTTCATTTCCACTTAGCCGCTGAGAAAGAAGGGCCTGCGGGCAGTTGTTCACCTCACACGGCCGGCGCTGAATAAAACCTCAGCTACTCACTTCGTCATGGCATCAGGGAGCATCACTAGGACCTCTGGCAGCTAAGTTGTGTGATTTGTCTCATGCCGGAAACGGTCGCCTACGGATGAGGCCCTCACGTTTTGCAACGGTTGCAGCTTTGTCGCAAGCCTCGTGGATTCTCCGACTTCAATGAGCGCGACTTTCAGACCAGACGAAATAAGATATTATAAGCTCAGATCTCAATCAGAATAAGATGCCATGTAATTGGTCAACACGGTCCTTCACGCTGTACCTCCAACAGGGTGCCGCATCTCCGCTTGCACTAGCGAAATTCAGGAGACCCTGCACACCAACCGCGGTCGACCTCTCTATACCATGTCGTCGGTAGCCGCGGTTTGGCTTCGCGTGTTCTCATCATGTTTCAGCTGTCTAGGTACGTTGGTAGGGCCTGTGGTCACTGGCCTCCTCCAGGGCGCGGTCCTGAGGCGGGACTTGTCGAATAGGAGTGACTGCATCTACGTTTGAAGCCGCCAACCGTGGCGCAGCAATGGAGCGCTGTTTACCACCGATCTGCGTCTCCACCAGTCATCCAGCCGCTCTTACAAAAGCGCCTATTGCCGGCGAAGCCTGGCACGAGAGCTAAACGTGCGTCTCATGGTCTGCGCCGAGGGAAAGTATTGTGAGGCAATGGAGTCGGTAGGCGAGAGTAGAATGGCGGGGCTAACCATCATATCATGCCGAAAAGAAAAACGAAAAAAGGAAATAGAAAAGAAGTAAAAACAACCAGAAACAAAGAAACCTGAATCTAGGTAGGTATCATAACATCTACTTCGCCCTCGGCCTTGCGTTCAGCTATTTATCGGCTGAGAAATCCGGAATACTGCTGGGCCTCCAATCATGCATTAAGCCTTCCCGTTTTCAAGCAAGAATCTCGCTAAATACTCGCAACACTTGGAAACAACACTTGGAACCACAGCGAGTTTTCATGTTCGACTCAGCATTTCCAATAGTTCTTTCCAGTCCTCTCCTGACTCCCTCGATAACTTCTCGAATTCCTCTGAAGAAGGATTAGATATTGAAGCAGTGGAAGTAATTGGCCCGAAAGCAGGGATCCACTTACCCTCAGGAGAGCCGTCGAGCGTCAGAGCATGCCAGTTGAAGGATGTCCAGAGCGTAGCTGGACTCGTATCACCCGTAGTCTGGCGTGGGAGGTCCTGAGCAATCTCAACTCGGGGATAGGGCACGGTACCTATCATGTATCAGGGATCGGGTTGAGTGGAATCTAGTGACACGAAAGGTGGAACAAACTGTGGGAAAACTGGCGTGATTTGTGATGAAACACCATAGGAAGCTTCTTCAGATCCTGTGTATTTCCTGTTAGACTGCTGCATGACCGTGGACTTGATGGTGTCTCCGAGCTTCGGTTCGATATAGATGAAAGCTTGGTGCGGCTCGCCAATTCGGATCTCGGTTTCGGACGACGATGGAATCCCTTTGTCGTTGATAGTTACAAACTGCGCCTTCGCTTTAGAGAAAGACCTCGTTTGGTAGAGCGGTATGGCAATGCGCCTCCGAATGGGCAGGTCTTAGAATGCGAGCGTGAACTTGTGATCGCATTACGCTGAGCAACGTGGAATCGAGTGTCGGAGATCTCATCCCGAAGTTTGATTGACTTCTGAAAGGCTGCTGCGCGGCGCGGTAGGAGGAGAGTTTACAGCGCGACACTGACCAAAATGAGGATGGAAACTCGTTGCTTACCTAACCGCAGCTAGTGTCATATTACTCGACCACTCTTGATGAAACCGCAAATCGGCCTCAATTAATCCGGCTTGTATCGGCGTCGTGAAAGGGACCTAGCCGCCTTGGGCCAAACCCCTGAAAATTAGACACAAGTCCGCTCTCGTCCTCGAGCTTAATGGCATGAGTACATGTAGTACGAAGATTGAATTTACCTGAGGCCTTGGTATTGGGGCCGCGAGCTTTGATTGGAGTGGTTGCGTCATGTCACACTCCCGTTACAACAGCTCTATTCTGCCGTGAGCCCCAAAAACACTCATTAAGAAGGTATTTCTATGTAAGTCAGCTCGTCTTGGCTGCACTCAACATCGCATCAAGCGGAAGAAGCTAGGATTGCGCAACGCTGTTGCGTACAGTCCCTTACCTTGACTACTTATCTAGGAAACTATTGATGGAGTTACGTACACCTCGTTCAACCTCCAGGCGTGTCCCCCCCCCCCCCCCCCATGGAGCGCGGCAAGCCTATGCTGCTAAAGGTACCTGGTCTCGGATGTGTTTTCTCGAGTGACGGCGAGCCCACAGGCTTTGGATCCATATCTTGCTATAGCACGCAAGTCGGCTTCCTCGTGTGGCCCAGGCTGGGCGCGTTGCTGACGTCGGCGGACATGATGTCTTGCGTACTCGCTCCACTTTGGTCGAGGTCATGGATGAGAGAAAGGGGCTGGCGACGCATAAGTTCGGCTCTCAAGATCGCGCAGGCATCCGTAACTCCCGGACCTGGTCCAGTCCAATAGGACAAGGCATGAACAAACAGCCTATCGAGAGTGCCGCGCCGGTTAGGCAGGGCCAGCAAAGTCGGGGGTCAAGCAAGGCCGACGGTAAGACGATCCCGTATCCCGCGTAGTAGCGTGAGCTTCGTAGTACCTTTTCTATCTATGCTCGGGGCTGAAGATGCCAGCGTTAGCAGCAAGCCGCCCGCGTCGTTTTTAGAGACAATTCCTGAGACGACATATTGAACAGACGTATAGTCCATTAGACGTTGATCATGTCTCCACCGCAGGCATCACTGACCCAGAGTAAACTTGACGACACCGAGCACGGTATCTATAAGTCCGGGACTTGCGGCGTTCCTCAGCCAAACCGCAACGAGATACAGTGCCGGATGCGAGGCCGGTATTTAAGCCGATCCTCGTTCAGCCACGAGCATATAGAGCGAACTATAATTGAGGCCTTCACATTATGTGGTCGACTTCTTGGTGCATGATTCGTTTCCCAAGTGCGATACAAGATGTCTCTGGCAGAGTTCTCAGTCCGCCTGGCCGTTGTCGCGACTTGGTTTACTGCTGTCTATCATGACCTCCTTCGAAATTACTGCCCGAAAATCCAATACGGCAACGCGCTTATCGCAACCGTTCTGAATTGAATACATCTCCTGGGCTCTGCGAAGATACCCTCCTTGGCTTTCCATTTGCGCAGCCACCAGTTGGAAACCTGCGACTGAGGCATCCCGAGTTTTTGGTTGCCGCCTGGAGCAATGCTCGCGATGCAAAAAAGCGGAGCGATAGCTACGTAGGTTACGCATGATTTGCTAGAGGACCGACCATAGGCCAAGGTGCGAGGTAGTATCTACAACGGCGTGCACAATGACACCCTTGACATACAACTTGACCCTGGGCATCGTCCGGCCATTGGACGTCTCGCATGGCTATGATTTACCCATATTCGCTGGGTCTATCAACTATAAGCTGAATTGACCATTACGCAATAGTCAGCGGGCAGCTCCAGCGTCGGCTATCATCTTATCGGCTTCGGCGGGAAGAACTATAGACTGTTCCGGGCTACCATCATACAGAGCGGCAGAGCGCTTGGTCCTAGCCGTACGTTAACCTCCGGCCCGCTCACCATCGTACAGTAATAACCATCAGTCAACACGATCGATCAGCTCAACCCGACATAAAAGAGAATATACGACAATATCAGCAAGACAATTGGCCGCTCTCGTGCGGAGGAACTTCCGCAATGCTTGCGCGAAGCCCCGTTCGAGAAGCTTCAACAGGCTTTTGCCCCATTCGCGATAACACCTTTCATTAATAGCGAGTTTCTCTCTCGACTCCCTGCCCCGCTCTTCGGTACCCCGATGATCCGCCTCTCGGTTTCCCTTGGGTACGGGTTCGGGGCGATTCGACCAGCGAGGCTACCAGCACAAGCGCGGAGCAGGCCGAGTAGGAGACCAGGCAATGCACAGCGGCTGCTGCTTCACGACTGAGGACCATGCATCCCTCCCCAAGGACAGGAGGAATGTCGTGTATTCGTGGTCAATTTGACGAGGCACCTTAGGTCAACAGGCTCGAGTTAATCGCTACCGAGGAGCCTATGGCTACGACATACTAGACGGAACCTAAGGCGTATTCAACTTGATTTGGTTGTCATCCGCAAGAAGGGAAATTGTATCGGACCATATCCGAGTTACCAGAAGCTGGCTGAAGTTATGGCACGGTGCTAGGCCACTTTCGTCCATGGTCTTGATCCCAATCACGATGTCAGCCGACGCAGTCTAGTCTAGCCTAAGCAGAATGTCAGCATAGGAACGTGGTGTTCAGCAACACAGGAAGAAACTAATTTGAGAGGGAATCTAGAGGGTGAAGTATTTAAGATGCTGGACTAGCACCTGGGTCGTGTTGAAGAAGTAAGCGGCGTGCTCATCGGGATCGGTCGCCTACTCCAAGTTGAGGTGGTCAATATGGGTTCACAGAAGGCGACACTTCCCAGAGGCCTCGTGCCTACCTACCTCGTGCCTAGGTACCTTACAGTGTTACGTTTAGTCCACCTGTGCCGTGGCTGAAAACAACGGATGGCTGAACGGCATCAGGCCGGCCCCACACGGCGAATACCAAGCCAAGGTATGACCTCCAACCGGGATTCCGGAGCGGCCTGGCCGGCGAGATCCGGTAAAACAGATGACTTTCCAGCCATGAGAGGTTTCTGCATAAGAAAAATCATTATGGATGGTCATGCATTTTAATCTTGGTGAAATTATGTCATTTGAATGTAAACGTGCCCCTCGCTTCTCCATACCGTGGATGAAAGCACAGCAAGATGGCCAGAAGCTGCTATTACATCCCTCTTCATCGACCCATTCCTTGCCTTGAGCGCTCTGCTGGCTCATAGAGTAGATCAACTGCATCGTAAAGAGCTATCAACTCCTCAGTACACGTACAAGTTGATCGCGCCCGGGTCCCGCTCCCTCAGCTTCTTGTTTTGGTGCTGGAGTGATAACCGCATAACCCACGCGCAGATAATAACTCCAAAAGAGAAGCCAATGCTTGCCAGCATGGCCGTCAGGTAGCGGGGCTCGTCCTTGCTCGGCCAGAGGTAAGGAGTGTACACGCTGGCCAGGTTACCCATAGTGTTGCACATGGCGATTGCCACGGCCTTCTTCTCATCCGTCTGGCCAACAACACTGGCCGTCCACGCTAAAATCAGATTATTTACCCCGTAAGTGAAGCCACAGAAGATAAAGATGCCCACCATGCGTGCGGGGACGTTGAGGGTGGCGACAGAGAGGGCGAAGCCAAGGATGGCGAGTAGCTTGCTGATGGTGGTGTGCCACGTGCGTTCGTTGTAACGGCCGGACGACCAGGACACGGCGACGCTCATGCCGCCTGCAAGGAGGTAGGGGGGGCACGTCAGGGCCAGGGTGACGGTCTTGCTGTAGCCCAGGGTCTCAATGACGGTAGGGAGGAAGTTCTGCGGCGATGCATGTTAGCGTTGTTTTTCAGACCCCGACAGAAACTTGGTTGACGCACCTTGAAACCATTGGCCGATAGATGCAAGTTGTCCATGAGACAGAAGACCCAGACGCGCCAGTCCGAGGCGGCCTCGCGGAGACCAGTCCACACGCTGGTGGCCTCGCGACGACCGGTCTGGTCGGTGTAGATGCGGGCATGGGCGAGCTCGCGCTCCTCCTGGTTCAACCAACGAGTCTTGAGAGGGCTGTCGGGCAGAGTGAAGAATGCAAGGATGGCGACGAGGATCGACAGAGCGCCCTGGATGATGAAGACCCTGTTCGCGGCAACATTAGCCATTGGTCTTCTGGTTTGTGGTTTCCCGCGTTCGCTTTCTTTGAACCTACCATTGCCAGCCGGCGAGGCCCTGCTTGCCGTCAAGGTTGAAGATGGCGGCAGCGATGAGTCCGGAGAAAGAACTAGCCAGCATGTTGCCGGTGTAGAAGATGGCCATGCGAGTGGCGATTTCCTTGCGGGTGTAGAACATGCTGATCATGTAGAGAGCGCCAGGGTAGAACTGCGACAGTTAGACAAGGCGCCAACGGATGCGTCGTTGTGAAAACATACAGGTGCCTCTGTGATGCCGAGGAGGAAGCGGCAGACGAGCATGGTCTCGTAGTTGTGAGCCTTGTAGGTAAGAAGACTGGTGATGGACCACGCCATGCAGAAACCTAGCATCATTAGTCATCGACGTTCACTGTTGCTTCCAAAAAGGGTGCCTACCGGACATGTACCAAGATGGGCGCACACGGTTGAGGATCATGTTGGAGGGAATTTGACCACACAGATAACTTGATCAATTAGTCATGGTTCCTGCGGTTGTTCGAGTGATATGCGAAGATACTTACCCCACAAACAAGATGGAGACACAGGTATTGTACTGTGTTCCGACGAGACCAAGATCATCTTCGAGATCATTCAGTCGTCCGTTGATCATAGCATTGCGATCGAGCTGGATTGCCTCTGTTAGTATGACTCCACATCATGGCATGGAATATCAGTGTTGCCCCAGCTGTAACAGCCGGGCACGAAACACTGGGTCGCGAAACTACCAGAGACCAGACTTACGAAGTTGAAGAAGTACATGAGCCAAAGAATGGGCTGAATTTGTCAGTCACAGAACCTCCTAAAGACAGAAGGATACTCACCAGCATGAAGCGGTCGAGCTTCTTCACAAGCGCAATCTCTCTGGGATCTGTTTTCTTGTGCGAGCCGAACTGGTCGAGCTCTTCCTGGCCGCCCTTCTCGAAAACGCCATCATCATTGGACGCCTCGACGTGGGAGATGTGATTCTTGTCGTCGCCAGCGCCAGTGGGCGATGCTGGTTGGGCAGACATGTTGAAAAGCCTCTGGCGTGTGTTTGGTCTGGGTTCTGTTGTCGAAACTCGTGGTGGTAGCAGTGATCGTCGACCCTGTGGCTGCTGACTCGAAGGTGAAGCTGCTGGATCTCGGAACCCAGGGTGACGTCTCTGGATGGGTTTATACTTGCATCTTGACAGATGAACGCCAGATCTAACCACCTGTTTCTAGGAGATAAAGGTGTGCTGAAACGACTCAACAGCTGGGGGACCAGCCTTTTCCGACTTCGCCAGTTTGCGGGGAAGCTGGGGCAGATAGTATGGGGGAGGGGGTGTGGGGGCTTCTACTGCAACAAGGACAAGGGCTGACCATGCACTGACCTTTCATTCCACCAACCTCGATGCAGTGCCGACCAAAAGTGGTGTGAGCGCCGTGTCGGATAAACCAGATTCGTGATGATGGTGCATGTAATCTACTTTTCCGGCCACATTACTTTCCCGAACCCTGCCGTCACGGATCGGCAGAGACAAGCCAACGCGCGGGGGAGTTGAGGGGAGGTTGGAGATGGAGAACTCAAAGGATCATGCCCAGGCCGTATTGACGGCACGCGATACCACGGCATGCCAACGGAAGCTCATCGGTATCCCGGCAGGTCTCCTATTGGACGCCATCAACAAATTCGGGGCATGAGGGGTTCGAGCTTGAGCTTATAGCTATGTCGAAGCCAGCAAGGCTCAGCTTCGCGTGGGTGTGAGAGACGCGCCATAGCTTACTCCCTTTTCGGGTTTTGATCACAAAGGTTCCCAAGCAACAATGACAGACACCAGCTTCTTCAGCGACGGCCAGGCCCTCGTGGTTGACAGCCTGCAAGGGTTGGTCGATGTCAGCCCCGAGCTCGTCTTCAATAAGACAATCAAGAGTACAGGCCAACCCCGTCCCTAGGCAGTCCCTTGCCATCACACCCTGCTAACCTTGAGTCAGCCATCTCGAATGCACACCACGACCCCTCCAATCGCGTTACTCTCATTTCCGGTGGAGGTGCTGGCCACGAGCCGGCCCATGCAGCCTTTGTTGGTCGCGGCCTGCTCAGCGCTGCTGTCTCAGGCAATATTTTTGCCTCTCCGTCTGTTTCCCAAATTGTGGAAGCTATTCGCACAGTTGGTGGCAGCGCGGGCACCATACTAATTGTGAAGAACTACACTGGTGACATCTTCCACTTCCACCTTGCAGCCGAAAAGGCCAGAGCTCGATGGGGCCACAGGGTTGAGGTCCTGGTGGTTGGGGATGATGTGGCGGTGGGACGCCAACGCAGCGGCAAGGTTGGCCGACGAGGCCTGGCGGGCACAGTCCTTGTCCACAAGGTTCTTGGGTCACTGTCTGCTCAGGGAAAGTCGATCGACGAGCTGTTGAGCGTCGGCAAGCAAATTGTTGATGGTCTCGTAACCTGTGGTGTGTCCCAGGGACACGTTCACATACCTGGCACCGCCGTCGATGCTGATGCCGCAAATGTCAAGATTGAGCTGGGCATGGGTATTCACAATGAACCTGGATGCCAGGTTCTTGACTCGAAGCCCAGTCTTGACAGTCTGTTGAACAGTATGCTCGACTTGCTGCTCAAGGCCGACGATCCTGATCGGGCATTCGTCAATTTCGATGATGCCAAGAGCTCCGTGCTTCTTGTGAATAATTTGGGAGGCACGTCACAGCTCGAGTTGAGCGCAATCACACGCCACACGGTCCAGAAGCTGAGTACGTCGACCTCCTTGGCTGAAGAGCTCCCGAGCGTGACTAACACACTTACGCAGATTCCCGGGGCATTCAACCAACACGCATTCTGTCCGGTACCTTGATGACGAGCTTGGATGCATCGGGCTTCAGTATAACCATCCTCAAGGCCACGGACGAAATCATTGCCAGTCTCGACTCCCCGACGACGGCTATCGGATGGCCTCAAACGTACTCGGCTTTCAAGCCACACACAGGCGAGCGTGTCCTCGAGTCTGCCTTTGAGAAGTCTTCAGACAACACCTCCAAAGCCTCTGGCCCAAAGTGTACGCTCAGCTCCTTCATCTTGCTTTCCATGGCACCAGCTGACCACGACTTATAGTAATCCCTCAAGCATTCAACTTCTCGGTCACGCAAGCCTGCCAAGCCCTGCTCGCTGCCGAACCACAAATCACACATGACGATCGTATTGTCGGAGACGGCGACTGCGGCGCGACGCTATCCCGCGGCGCAAATGCCGTGCTCAAGGTCCTCTCCGAGAGCCCCGTCACAGAGTCAACCACAGCAGGCGCTGCTATGATGTCGATCGCTCACGCAATTGAAGAGAGCATGGACGGTACATCTGGTGCCTTGTATGAGCTCTTCTTTACCGCTTTTGCCGCGGCTTTGCAAAACTCCTCCGGCGAGACTGTCAGCACAGAAATCTGGAGTCAAGCAGCTGGCAGCGCCCTCGAGCGGCTCCAGGCCATGACGCCTGCGAGAGTGGGAGATCGCACAGTGATGGATGCTCTGATTCCCTTCATCGATACCTTGCAGAAGGAAGGTGACTTGGCGAAGGCGGTCGAAGCTGCTAGGAAGGGCCGCGATAGTACCAAGGGTATGGAAGCGAGTCTGGGTAGGGCAGTCTATGTTGCTGGTGAAAACTGGGCCAAGGTACCTGATCCCGGTGCCGAGGGTATCGTCGCTATTGCTGAGGGCATTGCCAAGTTGTCTTCACAAGAAGGGCAGTAGGCGCGCCTTCCTTCCCTCTTCAAAATTTGTGACAGATGCATAACGGAGCAACCGGGAGGAAACCGATGACAGAGGTCCGACTCGAACCGAGATTTGGAGGAGAAACAACTCCAAGAACGGAGAGCTGAGGTTCCTGGGTACATTGAGAGCTAGGGGGACCAGAATCGACAGGTGATGAGAGCTATCATTTTCTATCTTACAATTCAACCAGAGCTTCCTGCGTACCGTTTCCTACCTGCTTTGGGAGCTTAACTAAAAGAAAAGCTGTTGTTGAGGCCTGATTGTGGCACCGCCGACACATCATTCTGTGGCAGACTTGACACTTGTTAATGAAGATCCACAGTTCCTCTTCGCACACCTCGCATCTGTGGCGTCCATATACGATGACCCAGTTGTGAACGACGCACTCGTGATTCACCCGCAAATGATTAGCCCGCGCCACGACAGCCGCATTATCAGCGCGTGCACGCCTGTTGACTTGATGTCGGGCAGTATCCACAAGTCGAGCTTCGTCCCAGACTGGACACTTGCAGATTTTCCACACCTCTCCACAACAGTAACAGAATTCGGCGCCACAATGGCAGGCTGGGACAACGTGATTAGCAATGAGCAGGCATCGATTTGACAGAACCTACTAATGTGATTGCAGCCCTGTACAAGATCCGTGGTCCTTCCGCAGAGGTTGCAGCGCATCCACCCGTTCCTCTTGCACAGTCGCAGAAAGACAGCGTCTTCATTGTTGATGGAACATTCTCCATCGTGCATCGCCTGTTTGCATAATGCACAAGTGGTTTGTTCGCACTTTGGGCAATGCGCAACGTTGCCGTCATGGGTATCAAGCTGGATGAATGCAGAGCAAGTCTTGACATGGCAATAAACTCTGTTTGGGGTTTTGAACTCCTCCCTCTTTGCTTTGAAGTCGGCAAAAAGCTCATCGGACAGGATGTGGCGGCTTGGCTCGAGCGGGATCGGTATTCTGCAACACTTGGGTGGGAAGCTCTTCTCGCACTTGATCGACATCGCGGCCAGCTTCGATAGACAGATGCCACAATAGCGGTGTTGACAGGGGACTTGAGACAAGTCGCATGGTTTCAATGCTTGGCTGCAGCTGACGCAAGCCTCGTAAGGCTCCTCGGTGTCCGTGTTGAGATGCTTGTTTTGATCAGAGGGCTTACTGTTCAACTCCTGGGGGTGTGCGTGTTCGGAATCCGTGGCTCCTTCCTCTTGCTCTTCCAAGTCGACTGCGTTAGGCCCTGCGGGCTCTTCAGCCGAGACATTCTAATCATCCTCAGCAGTTGCATCCTTAAGCAACACGGGCGCCTCAGGATGACCAGCCTCAGCAACACTAGCATTGGCATGCTCAGCGCAGTCGACTGCAAGGGGCTCTTGGGCAATTGGCTCCTCAAATTGGCCTACGACAGCGACGCCAGTATCGACAAGGCGTTGAGCATACTGGCGATTGGCAAGGACAGCACCGAGGGCCTGTAGCTCGCGTGCTTGTGGAGCTCTCAAGGGATCATCTTGGTCCATGTTGCTGATATCATGGCGGAGAAACTGCACAACCAGCTCAAGCGATTCGTTGTCCATACCAGAGATGTCCATGGCTCAGGCTTGGAAGGGCGCTGGTGAAATTGTCTTCCGTGTCGGATCTTGGCAAGATCGAAGTGAGGCGAGTCCTGAGACAAAGCCACATTGGCAAGATATGGTACAAACCCTACAAGGAAGTTCGCCTTGTAGAGTGACGGATGAGCTTACCTCAAGCGGTGATAAGTGCGATCGAGACAGAGTTGAGCTGGAAACACGGCCAGGGATGCGTACGGAACAAATCCAGGGAAAGGGTAGGATGACTTTACAGTCGACGAAATAGAAGCATCGAGTGTTCTTGCAATCTAATGTCTGCGAGTATAAGACCAGAGGCGTGGAAACGACGACGACCAGGACCCTATATTGGTGCTCAATGAAAGAAGGAAGTGTGGGAATGAAGGAAGTGTAGGAATGAGGAAAGCGTAGGAATGAAGGAAGTGTAGGAAAGAAGGAAGTGTAGGAAAGAAGGAAGTGTAGGGGAGAGATTAGTGTTGGGAACTCCGGTAAGGGAAGAGGAAGGGAGGCTTAGAATCGTTAGCCTCCGTTCAAAGAAAGAGGCAGTCTTTGCAATACTTACCAAAAGTTGAAATCGTTCCTGCCTGAACTTGTGGTGTGGGTGGTCCAGATCTTTGGCTGCCTTCAGGCCCAAACTATGGAAGAGGGTGGAGAAACGTCCCTGAGCTGACAAGGCAACAGTCGACAGACCATGATAAATAGAAGGAAGGAGGTCGCCTAGCAAGAGGACGGTGGGGGAGAGGGGAAGAGAGGTGAAGAAGTGGGATTTTGTTGTTGAAAAGATCCAGTACGGCACATTGCGTGTGTACGCCTCCATACCGACGGCTCGAAGGGTGCGATCTTTCCGTGCAAAGATCAGGTAAGCTCCAGACGATTTGTGATCCAAACATGTGCGAAGGACCAAGCCCTACGTCAGGATTTTCTTGACAAATGGCGATTTACAGAGAGGGCGGAGTTGTAGAAGGGCGGACTGATGGAAATGGGAGAGAGGAGTTTACCATACTATCCCGCGACAGTGAGGCAGAAGTGTGTCCCAATTGATCCCATTCGTCTAACGAAAGAGATGGGTTCTATGGTAAACACGCGTATTGAAGTGATGGATGAGGTTCCGGATCCATAGCGATATTGTCGTCGGGGTGTTCTGGTATGAGGAGGGGGGAGTTGAGAACCGAGGACCAAGACAGGGCAGCGACAAGTAACCGTCGGTGAAGATCTCCGCTTGAGCCATGCAATGGTAGGAATGTCCAAAGACATGCCATTACCAAGGGCAAACAGGATATGTTCAAGGTAGTTTGTGATCGAAACATTGGCAAAGGATCACCTTCTACCAGGGACCTTTCTTCGTCGGGCCATCGGTTTCAAGGGGAGCGCGAAGAAGAGAATCAATCTGTGTGAAGAGGGTAGAGGCAAGAAATAAGATGCAACAACAAGGAAACTTTAGGTTTAGGCATGCGGTATGAGTAGAGCCAAAACTAGGCAGCAAACTTTTAGGTAGTTGCTCCACAAGCCTACCCATCACGTAAGGCAAGGTATCCAAGGTACCAGGTTTCAGTGAATAAGACAGACGATCTGCCAATGCCATTGGCCCAGCAGTATATGATTCCTACAGAGACTTCTCTTCATCTGCCATCTGCCCCAATATGTCGCTCCATTCCTCCCAGACGCCTTGAGCCAGTGTGCCTTTCAGGGGCAGCCTGCCGCCCTTCAGGTGACCGAAGCCCAGAACTTTGAAGATGGCCTCGCGAATTCCCAAAATACCGTTTTTGACGATGAACTCTTCCGCTGAAGAGACCTTCCACTGCAGACGGCGGACCTCCTCCTGCGTCTCCTCGTCCGCAGGACGCTGGGAAGCCAGCTTGAAGAGTTTCGTGATGGTCTTGGGGTAGATCGCAGCAAGGCCATCAATAACACCAGCAGCATTGAAGACCACAATGGGACCGAGCTGCTGGCCAAAGCCGGAGTAAACGCGGAACTTGCTGTGATCAATCTTGGGGTGAAGCGACACCTGCACGTGGTGTGAGACGTTGCCGTGGGACCTGTTCCACGTTAGCCAGCTTCTCAAAATACCTTACGTGACAATGATTCTCACATCTTGCATCCAACAATCTTGGGGTGTGCTGCCAGCTTGGCGTACGTGTCTATGCTGACCACGAGGTTGTTGGTCACGCCAGGGTAGTTGTATCTGCTCATGTCAGTGTCCACCTTGCACGAACGCACTCGCTGCAGACTCACATCAGGATCGGTAGAGGGCTCTTGTCAGCGACCAAGGTGTACCACTCGACGAGGTTGTCTTGGCTGGCAGCACCGCCAAAGTAACCCGGCGCAAGCACCAGACCCCACTGCGCGCCTGCCTTGGCGGAATCGTCAAGCCATTCGAGAGTCTCGTCGACGCTGTTGACAAGGACACCCGCCATGATGGGGTAATCCTTGTAACCCGCCTCATCGAGGCCCTTGCGAACCCCAGAGATCATGTCCACACGCTCTTGCCGAGACATGTGAATCGCCTCTCCGGTCGAGCCCATCAGCACGAGGCCTGTGATGCCAGACTTGGCGAGATGGACACTGTGGGCGACCTGTTGAGGGACATCGATGGCAGGTTGCAGGCTGGAAGAGTCTGCGCTCTCCTTGAAGAACGTGGGGACCGGCACAAACACGCCATCTGGGGGAGTAGTGTTCGCCATGGTGCAAGAGCTTGTTTGTTCTAGATTCGAGCAAGTCTCTCTGAAAGTTGAGAGAACGAAAGCGGTTCAATCGAAGCCTCCAGAAAGAAATGTCCCAAGTCGAGCACCAAATGCTGGCGAGAACCCGTGTATCTGTATGACGAATAAAGTGAGGGGTCAGAGGTGGGTCGCGGCATGCCGGAGTCGGAGACGTCTGGCGGGGAAAACCGGCGTTCGGGCGCCAACCCGGCACGGGGCGGCATCGGGGTCGATTTTAGCGGTTACCGAGTCCGTCCGTCGGATAAGTGCTTTCGGATAATGACGCGGGGTCAAACCTCAACACCGATGATCCGTTCACGATCTTGACTCTGGGGTTTAAATGAGCATTCATCGACGGGCACGATTACGCCGCACAAACGTGACAAAGTCGTATCGTCATCACTTGCGTAACATTTCATCATGTCTTCCGGACGCTCCTTCAAGCTCAACTCGGGCCACTCGATCCCTGCCGTGGGACTGGGCACATGGGTGAGTTGAACCTCGCTTCGGGGTCGCATGAGCGTCACTGACAATTGTGAGCAATCTGGGCCCAACGAGGTCGCTCGCGCTGTTGAGCACGCTCTGCGTCATGGGTACCGCCACATTGACGCTGCGGCCGTCTACGACAATGAGGAGGAGGTCGGTGCTGGCATCAAGGCCTCCGGTGTTCCCCGCGAGGAGATCTTCCTGACCTCCAAGCTGTGGAACACCCACCACAAGGCAGAAGATGTCGAGGAAGCACTCGACCAGTCCCTCGCCGACCTTGGCACTGACTACGTCGATCTGTATCTCATCCACTGGCCTGTTTCTTTCAGCAAGCCGGCCGAGAAGAAGCAGCGATTCCCCCTCGCCGCCGATGGCGGTGTTGATGTCATCGACGTACCCGCTTCCGAGACATGGAAGGCTATGGAGGCCCTCGTGAAGAAGGGCAAGATCAGGAGTATCGGTGTCAGCAACTTCAGCAGAGCGAGGATCGAGGACCTCCTCAAGACGTAAGTGGCCCCACCAAACCCTGGGAATGCCAGTGCTCACATATTCCAGCGCCGAGATCAAGCCCGCAGTCAACCAGATTGAGGCTCACCCCTATCTTCAGCAGCCCGAGCTTCTAGAGTGGTCCAAGCAGCAAGACATCCTCATCACTGCCTACAGCCCATCTGGAAACAACATCTACAACCTTCCCAAGGCGCTGGATGATCCTGAAGTCGCGGCCATCGCCAAGGAGGTCGGTCGCCAGCCCGCCCAGGTCCTCATCCAGTGGGCCGTTCAGCGTGGTACTGTCGTCCTTCCCAAGTCTGTGACGCCGAGCCGCATCGAAGAGAACTTCCAGGACTTTGAGTTGCCGGCTGCTGCTCTGGAGCGTATCAACAAGCTCGACAAGAACCACAGGTACAACATGCCGGCTCGCCTGGGTGTCGACGTCTTTGGAGAGCACGACGAGGCTTTCCTGAAGAAGGCACGGGCGGACTGGATCGCGGCACAGAAAGCGGCAAAATAGACTATAGAGTACCTAGCATAGACAGCAATGAGCATTTGCATTTTAGCCTGACTGCGTTCTGTTGGCAGCCCCAAGATAAAGTGCATGATGCCTTGTCCCTATGCAGTAACGTGATGTCTCGAGCCCTGTCAGATTTCGATACTGGAAAACATTGCCTATCCTAACGCAACAATGGCTGATGTGAGATGCAGCAGACGACCTGACAGCGCCTCCTTTCTTTTCCCCGCGTGAATATGAGATCGTGGTGTCTTCGGAAACCACCTTGCAACCCCATCAGGTAGATCAGCTTACCTGTGAAACTCAATGTCAACTAGCCCTGTCAACGTGGCAACCTCATGCTTTGCCGGCAGCCGGATCGCCAAGACTGGCATTTGCTCTTGCGCAGGCTGCCACCTCAAACGCGTGGCACATACCCTGCGTGCTTGGATGCTTACTCCGAGAGAGCCGCCTTCCTCCTTTCCGAGTGCCGAACATGACATCAGCCCCCTGGGCAAGCATCGCAAACGATACCACAGCCTCCCCCCCCCCCCCCCCCAACGACCTGGGCACCCCCACGTTCAACTGAAAATGCCCGGCTAGGGCCGCTTGTGAAATCCGGGCTGACGCCGACGTCGGCAACCTCTCGGCCCCACACGTAGAGGCGTGATTCGTGGACGGATACATTTCCGGCCGATGTCTTTCGCCGGAGAGCATCGGATGTCAAGCAGCTCGCCCAATCACTCGACTCATCGTACAAAACTGAGAAAATGGGCACGAAGACAGGCCAACGCGCACACGCAGGTAACTGTACGCTTACGAGAAACTTCATCCCGTATCATTCTTGGAAGCTCCATCACTCACTCACTCAGACAGACAAGAAAATGGGCAAAATTGCAAAAATTGAGTACTTCCGGGTGCCGCCGCGGTGGCTGTTCGTCAAGATCACCGACGATGCGGGGAACGTAGGATGGGGTGAGGCATCGCTTGAAGGCCACACCCAGGCGGTTGAAGGCTGCTTGGATGCTTGGATTTCGCAGTACACTGGAATGGAAGCCGAGTAAGTCACACCGAAATCTAGACGATAAGGGCCCGATTACTCACATGATGCAGTGAGATTGAGCAGATTTGGCAAAAGTCTTGGCGCATGGGCTTCTACAGAGGCGGTCCCGTATTCATGAGCGCTCTGGCTGGACTCGACATTGCTCTTTGGGATCTCAAGGGTAGGTGAACGCCTGGTGTTTCTGCTGCCATGAGTTTGCTGACGAGCAATCAAAGCCCGGAAACTCAACGTTCCTATCTACCAGCTGTTGGGCGGCAAGGTGCGAGATACGATCAAAGTGTATGCATGGATTGGCGGCGATCGGCCCGCCGATATTGAAGCGCAAGCGTAGGTTGCCTCTCGGGCTATGTCCCGTTAACCATCCAACTGACAAGTCTCAGGCTGTCGCGCAAGGCGCAAGGGTTCACTTGCGTCAAGATGAATGGCACTGAAGACTTGGCTTGGCTCGACTCCCCTGCTGCACTTGACGCCTGCGTCGAGCGTGTCAAGACGGTCAAGGCGACGGGCATGGATGCCGGCGTCGATTTCCACGGACGAGTGCATCGACCCATGGCTAAGCAGTTGGCAGCACTGCTGGCTCCGCATCGGCCGCTCTTCGTGGAGGAGCCTTTGCTGTCGGAACACATTGAAGGCATCAAGGCATTTGCCCAATCTACCACGACACCCATTGCACTGGGAGAGCGACTTCACAGCCGATGGGATATCAAGCCGTACCTCGAGGCGGCGTGCGTCGACATTCTGCAACCGGACATTTCTCACGTTGGTGGCATCTCAGAGCTTCGTCGCATCGCCGCCATGGCGGAAGCATATGACGTGCCCATTGCACCGCATTGCCCCTTGGGTCCGATTGCGCTCGCCGCCAACATCCAGGTCGATGCAGCGACGCCTAACTTTGCGATCCAAGAGATGAGCCTCGGCATCCACTACAACACGGGCGGCCACGACCTGCTCACCTACATCAAGAACCCGGAGATTTGGAATGTCGAGAACGGGTACATTCCGTTGATGGCAGGGCCGGGTCTTGGTATCGAGATAGACGAGGAGAAGATCAGATTGTTAAGTCAGGGTGCTGAGCCGTGGGTCAGTCCGGGCTTCGTCGGACCGGGCGGCGAGCTGCGAGAATGGTGAAGAGTTCTAGACACATCCTTTTTGCTGCAGGGGAATCCATTTCCGGCAGGCCATTTCCCTCCAGCCTTGCGGGGGTTAAGGGATCAGGGACCAGGGTGCTTCGTACATTGCATGGCGTTGTAAGAATCAAACGGGGGTTACTTCGCGCGTTCGAGGCACAGCTCTTCATAGGACCATCCACACCAACTGGTGAGACCAGAGCCGCCGTCCCCTGAACTGACTAGCCACGATTCGTTAGTCTCCGTTCCCCCGGTAGAGCATACTGTGAAAAGGCTGTAGGGCATTGTCCCGTGGTTCCATCTATCGGATGGCCTCCCAAGCCTCCCCCGCGAACGAAACCCCGCGTCTTTCTCCCCGCATATGAAGGGTCCACACTCATCTCTCGGCCTTCGTCGTGACTCGTGCCGATGTTGCGCACGGAATACAAAACAACACATCACCACGCGTTCTCCGCCCGCCGCCCACCCCCCCCCGACGCCCTTTTCCGTCACAACGGTCCCCACGGCCAACCAACACCTTATCGCCGCCGCGCCGTGCAGTTCACTGCAGTGCCCGCTCAGCCCGACAAGTGAGCTCATCATGGACACCGACCGCCGGACCAGCCTCGTCAGCAACAATGACTCTGGCCTTGGTCCCCACGGTCATGATCACTCCGATCCCGAGGACCATGAATCACCGCCCTCGAAACAGCGCAAGCCGCCCCATGTGAGGAGCCGTGCCAGCAGAGCTTGTGACCGTTGCAAGGCGTAAGTCTTATAATACCCCATTTTCGTAGCGGTGATGTGGACTGTGTTGTGGTGCTTGGGACGGTGGTGTGTGATCTTGTATGATCTCATCTCGTTTTCATCGAGCTCGCTTGCTCGCTTGTTCATCCATTCATATTCATACATGTCCATACATTTCATCCCTTAACCCTGGAGCATCACTTGCTTCCTTACTCCATCAGGCTTACTAACCCAACCTTGCTCCAGTCGGAAGACTCGATGCTCGGGCAAATACCCTTGCGCCCTCTGCTCACGTCTGCGGCTGGAGTGCAAGTACACAGCTTCCTATCGACGCGGCCGTCTGCCTTCCATAGAAATGGAGACTGGTGACCTGGTCGACACCGTCGCCAACCCTCCAGGGGCCAGGCCGTCTAGCCAGCAGCAACACCCGTCTTCGGCTGGGCCTCCTGATCACACCCACCACCAGGCAGAGCACATTCCCAGTCCAATATCCATCGGCAACCGGACGCTGGCGCCCCCAGACAACGGACGGGGGCCCTCCACCACCCAGTCGTCACGCAACTCGCCAGAACCAGCGCAGATAGACCGCCAGGGCCACTATGTCGGCCCAGCCTCCGGCGCCTCGTTCCTGCTGAGGATCCAGAGGAAACTGCAGCAGCAGTCCTCCGTCTCCTCCGACGCCTCCATCTTCACCTTTGGCGACCTGCCGCTGCCCGAGTTTGACCCCCGCTTCCTCATCCTGCCCCCACGCTCCGAAGCAGAAGCTCTGCTCTGTAGGTACTTTGAGTTCGCCTCGGCCACGCACCGTTTCTTGCACCGGCCGACGGTGGAGAGGTGGCTGCAGGAGCTGTACGAGACCCACGGCACCATGCGGGAGCAGACGGCCGCCCGAAGCAGGACGGCCCTGCTCTTCATGGTGTTTGCCTGCGCGGAGAATTACCCCAAGTCCAAGGCGGGCAAAGTCGATCCGACATCCAGGTGAGGGCCCTTTTCATATCTGTATTTGATGGCCACTCCATTTTTGCTGACTCGTTCCTTGTAAACAGTGCCCGCTTCTTTTCTGCAGCCGAAGATCAGCTCGTGGCCGAAAAGGGCACCATCCGCCTGACGAGCGTGCAGGCTCGGCTTGCGCAGTGCATCTACCTGCTGTCACACTCGCGTCTTAACCACTGCTGGAGCCTGTTTGGGACCACGGCGCACTTGATGCTGGCGCTGGGCATCCACAGAAAGTCTCGTGTCGATAGCAGCAGCAACCCTGACTATGTCGACTTGGAGTGCCGCAAGCGCACCTTTTGGTGTGCTTACAACCTTGACACCTACCTCAGTGCCGCCCTGGGTCGGCCGAGGACGTTCCATGATGATGACATTGATCAGGTGAGTGTCTGGGTGATGAGGCAGCAATGAAGCTGCATGCTCACAATCTCACAGGAAATGCCCCTCTGCGTCGATGATTACAGGCTGTCGCGTGGTCAGATGAATGCAGCACCGACAAATAGTCTTCAGTCGGTCATGTCAGGCCCTGTGGCACATATGAAGTGAGTTCATCCTGCCGAGTTCCCTCTCCCGGCCCACATGCTGACTTCGACAGGATTTCTCGCATCGTGGCAAATATCTTGCGTGATCTTTACAGCATCCGCCCGCCATCAACAGATAATCAGTTCAAGCTGGCAGCCAGGTACTCGAAAGATATCGACAACTGGCGCAGCGGCTTGACCTACCTGTTGGACACGGACGGTGTTGATCCCTCATTGTTCCAGCCCATCTTCCTCCGCCAACGCAATGTCTTGAACATGGCCTGCTGGCACGCCCAGATCCTCGTCCACCGTCCGTTTCTGCTGAATAATTTCGCCAGCCTCGCCAATCTCGGCTCAACGCGCAACAGGAAAGCAAATCGCAACTCGGAACTGACGGATGAGCATGTTCAGCGATGCCTGGAAGCTGCCATGAACATTGTGGGCCTCGTCGACACCCTCAGCTCTAACGGGCAGCTTTACAACACATTCTGGGTAGGTCATGATTTGAGCTACAAAAAGAAACTCAGTCCGCTGATTAAGAGGGTAACCTGTAGTTTACACACTATTTTGCATTCTGCGCGGTCGTGATGCTTTACGTCTTCTCCATCCAACAGCGCAACTCGCCACTTGAGACTTATCTCCCGGCATTCCATGCTGCGACCAAATGCCAGCAGCAGATCACATCAATCGCAATACCTGGCTCGTTGGCACAAAGATATGGCGTCGTTCTGCAGGAGCTGCGCCTCGAACTGCTACGACAGAACACGCATCTCCTCTCACTTGCAGCGGGGCAGCGAAACGGCAGCGGTGCCGCTGGCGTGCTCCTCGAAGGCGACGAGTCTGTTCTACGCCAGTTCGACAGTGCAGACCTGTTGGCTCTGGGGGCGAGCGAGCTGGCCTTTGGCGCTGGAGCAGGAGCGCCGGATGCCAGCGGGCAGCTCGATATCGGCCAGGATGACGGGCTTGGGTTCCCCGATGCCAGCCCGGGAAGTTCCATTGTCCAGATGACTGGGTGGGGCCAGTTCGATTCACTGGTGAGTGCAGGCCTCTCGCATGAACTGTGTTTTCTCAAGCGTGTTTTTCCGCTGACACTGATCTTCCGTAGGTGACTGGCGGCGTTGGCATGGATGCTTTCCTTGCGGAGGGCGGCATGGAGGGCTGGGATCTGTCCATGGCTGAGGGCATGGGTCAACATTGAGCGAGGAATTCATTGAGTTCATGTCGTCTTGGCGACTTTGGGAGTTTGGCAGGAGCAGCAAAGTAATGGCGGCTAAATGACTTGATCGAAAATAATTGAAGATGCGTCCTTCACACTTGAGCACTAACACTGCATCACACGACAGCGACGGGTCTGTGCTCCCATTGCCACTTGCGGAGCGCTCTCAGAAGCTGCCTCATAGCACACCTCTCTCACATGGTTTTCCGCGTAGTAGCATGTCGTTGACGAGCCATCAACTTTGAGACAAGAACTAGGGAAGTTCAGACTGGGACTCTCAACCTTCGCCCTTTTCCGACCCAGGCACCAAAGCTGGATCTAAGACATGCTGCAGCTGGTCCTTGCGCCGCGACGTAAGCCTCTCCGCGCGGCCGTCCCCCTGCAGTTCCCGAGCCGCATGGTGCATACGGGCAAACCGTCAATGTCTCGCCTGGCCGCCCGGACTAGACCGCCGATGTTCCCTCCGCGACGAAGCACATGATAGTAAAGACTCGTCTCCACACAGGTCTGTCGGTACTTGTCTCGCACAGGACATCTGCGGGGTGGCAATATGCTGACTCCGCAATCGTCGCTGTCGGATCGGCCGGCTATCTTGGGGTCAACCTTTCTACACCCCAGAACGCCTTTTCCGGGCGCTTTTCCGGGATTGAGACTTTCCACCACTCGGAGGCATAGCACGTGAGCGGCCAACCCCCTCCATCCTTAAATGGCAGACGACTTGTAGAGGCTCAGTTCAATATGTGCAATAGAGGAGCAAGGGTCTATGTTTAACTCGGGCCCATCAACTGATTCGTTTTGCTTTCTGTACTTGTTGATCCGTCAACTTTCACTGTTCGAGACAGCCAGCCAGCAGCATCTCGTTTTGCCATGGCCGCCGTTACAGCAACTCTCGTGGGCCTTGCGCCAGGCTTGGACGTAGCCAAGGCCCCGGAACCCGTTTCCAGTTCAAAACCCGATAAGATTAACAGCATCAATGATTTCATACTTCACCAGGCACAAAGCATTCCTGATACCCCGCTCATTGCCTACCCAAGATCCGACCAAGGATCCGCAGATTGGGGAGACTACACCGCCAAAGATCTCGACACTTTCACCGATGAAGCCGCCAAAGAGCTGGCAGGTTTGGGCCTGCGTCCTACGGTATGAGTGAACTGTCTTGGCATATTCTGACAATGGGGACTGACGGCTGCAGGAGCGCAAAAGGAACACAGCCGAGGTAGTCGCCCTGCTGGGACCCTCAAATCTGGACTACATTGTTTCCATCCTAGCCTTGTCACGCATGGGGTTTTCTGTTCTGTTCCTCTCCAACCGCCTTCCAACAGAAGCCTATGTCTCTCTGCTTGAGAAGACCAAGTGCACGCGCGTCCTTTCCATATCAAAGTTCGATACGACAATAGCCAACATTCAGGCTGTCTACCCGCTCCAAGCCTTTCCTCTTCTGAACAGTTCAGTTTACACCCGAAAGTCCCTCTATCCAATTCGTTTCCAGCGAGAAACCGAACTCGTCAACGAAGAAGACTGCATTGCTTTTATTGTGCACTCCTCTGGCAGCACTGGCCTGCCGAAGCCTATTTTCCAGACGCACAGGGCTTGCCTCAGCAATTATGCCACCGGAAGTGGAATGCGAGCTTTTGTCACGTTGCCGCTCTTCCACAACCATGGTCTCTCTACCATGTTTCGAGGCATGGTCACCGGAAAACGCACAGCCATTTACAACGCCAACCTTCCCCTGACCAACGGCCATCTTGTCGAGGCCATGCGCACAGCCGATTTTGAGAGCTTTCACTGTGTTCCCTATGCCTTGAAGGTCCTTGCGGAGTCAACCACTGGAGTCGACGAGCTTCGCAAGGCCAAGTTGGTGCTTTTTGGTGGGAGCAGCTGCCCGGATGATCTGGGCGACATGCTGGCTCAGGAAGGAGTCAACATTGTTTCTCACTACGGAGCGTGAGTATACGGCTCGACGGCCCATGTTAATCATGCTGATGTTAACATTTTGCAGCACCGAAATGGGTCAGCTCATGACGTCTCAACGCGACCATGTACAGGATAAAGCCTGGAACTTCGTTAGGCCTCTTGTCAAAACAAAGCCTTTTCTCAAGTTTGACCAGATTAGCGAAGGCATCTACGAGCTGATCGTTCTTGACGGACTTCCCTCCAAGGTCATGTCCAACAACGACGATCCACCCAAGTCTTTCAGAACCCGTGATACGTTTGTTCCGCACCCGACACTCCCTGACGCCTGGAAGTACCTCGGTCGTCTGGATGACCGCGTGACGCTCATGAACGGCGAGAAGGTCCTACCTGTACCTTACGAGCACCGCGTGCGCCAGAACGAGTTGGTCCAGGACTGTCTGGTCTTTGGTGTTGACCGTGCCTTCCCTGGTCTGCTAGTCATCCCGAGCGAGCACGCTGTCGACATCACTCCGGCCGACCTCCTCGAGAAGCTCTGGTCCGATATTCAGGACGCCAACGCGCGTGCTGAACAATTTGGCCGTGTGTCCCGCGAGATGGTGGAAATCCTCCCGCAAGGCACAGAGTATCCTCGCACCGACAAGGGTACCGTCATCCGCGCCGCAAGCTACAACCACTTCGCCACGATCATTGACGACGTCTATAAGAGGTTCGAATCTCCTGGCAACGCTGAGCGCTTGGCGCTCGAAATCCCCGAGCTTCAGGAATACCTCACGAAACTCATGTCTGAGCGTGTCGGAGTCGAGGGACTCTCGGTAGATACCGACTTCTTTGCTGCAGGTATGGACTCTCTGCAGGCCATCACGGCTCGCGCGCACATTATGCGTGAGCTGGACCTAGCAGACCATGTCTTGGGCCAGAACGTTGCTTTTGAGCACCCAAGCATCACTCAGCTGGCGGCGTACCTGGACTCGATCCGAAAGGGCTCAACACTCCAGGCCTTGACCGAGGAGGAGGTCATGCAAGAGCTCGTCGCCAAATACTCGACCTTTACCCCCTTCACCCCTGGGAACCAGGTTCCCGATGGCGAGGTAGTTGTGAGTCAAGTCACCACCCCACAAAACTCGACTGCCTACTAATGTGCTTCCACTAGGTTCTTACCGGTGCCACCGGTTCCCTTGGAGCCCACGTTCTGTCGCAGCTTCTGTCGCTCCCACACATTCGCCATGTCTACTGCCTTGTCCGCGCCTCGTCGCCCCAGGCGGCTCATGAGCGTGTACTTGAATCGCTCGCGATACGTGGTCTATCTCCTCATCACAGCTCGGCTCACGAGCGCATCCTGTCATCTTTGGTCGAATCTGGGCTGTCTCCCCACCACACTTCGGCCAAATTCACGGCTCTACCTTCGGACCTGAGCCGTGCTGATCTGGGTCTCGGTACCGCTGCGTTTGAGGCGCTGAGCACATCCGTGACCTCAGTCATTCACTCGGCCTGGGCCGTCAACTTTACCCTGTCTGTCCGCAGTTTCGAGGCCCAACACATCGCCGGTCTCCGTCACCTCCTTGATCTTTGTCTGTCTGTCCCATTCGCCCGTCCCGCCCGTCTGGCATTCATTTCCTCAGTCTCTGCAGCCGCCGGCACGCCCTCGCCGGCTCGCGTTGCTGAGACACTGGTCAAGGATCCCGCGCACGCTCAGAACATGGGCTATGCGCGCAGCAAGTGGGTTGCTGAGCACATTGTCAAGGCCGCCGCCTTTTCAACTGGCATGGAAGCACGAGTCCTGCGCTCCGGCCAAATCGTGGGTGACTCGGTCCAGGGCAAGTGGAATGCTACCGAGGCCATTCCCCTCATGTTCCGCGCTGCTGTCACCATTGGCGCGTTGCCGGCGCTCGACGAGACCCCCTCGTGGCTGCCCGTTGACCTCTCAGCACGGGCGGTGCTGGAACTCATAGAGCTTGCCGAGCCGGGATCCAAGACGGACGGGTACTTTGAGCTCAGGGACGGCCCCGACGTGATTTACCACGTGCAGAACCCGACGACGACTCGCTGGACCGAAGATGTGCTGCCTGCGCTTGCCAGGGCAGGCCTGACCTTTGAGACGGTCGGTCAGCGGGAGTGGGTGCAGAGGCTGCGCGACGGAGACCAGGACCCCACGACCAATCCGACAGTCAAGCTTCTGGACTTCTTCGCTGAGAAGTATGATAATGACAAGCCCGGGCGCAGTGGTCTGGTGTTCGAGACGGGCCAAACCGAACGCAGAAGCAAGGCTATTGGAGCAGGATACGACGTTGTCACCAGTGGCCTACTGACAAAGTGTGTTGAGAGCTGGAAAAAGGACTGGGCTCAATGAGCTTGTCCATCACGAAAAGAACATATTCTTTGCATGTGGCGTTTATATATAAGGTTATTCTTTGGGGTAAACATTTTCATTTCCATCCTCAGCGTTCTCATGAAACCAAATATCCCCTGAACATGCTCTGCATAGAGCTGTGAATGTGATATCTTGCGATGGCTCATAGTAGTCTGCTGAGGAACCGATGCTGCCTTTAAAGTTCGTCTTTATATGGCTATAATGGCTTCCTATGACGTATAGAGGTTAGTCAGTATATGCCATGATGATTACTAATTGTGGTCACTCGATTTGTGACTCTCAAACTCATCACAGATGTACTGTGTAGTTTTAGGATTCAAGCATGACACAGTCAGCCATAAAGCACCGTGATAAAGGACCTCATATGTTATTAACTGAGCATAGTATCTACCTAGGCGTGATGGTCATAGTGAGACCCCACTAGCTGGGCGTCATTGCGGCCAATTGGCTCGCTTGATGAACGACCCTTGCGTTGCTTGCTTTGGCGACAAGCTGGCACTGCGCGCTCTTGATTATTTACCCTTTACCCCGACGACCCGACCTAGTGGTATGCAAGTTTCCAAACCACGCCGTCGAGTTGGCCTTTGTCGCCTTGACCTTGTTGCACTCTGCAGGGACACGACGTCACGGGACAAAGCGCATCAAGCTTCCTTCGGTCAGAGAAGAAGACGCCTTCAACCACGCAAACACCACGCTCTACGGTGCGGCACAGGCTTATCGTGCGACATTGCGAACAATGCAAAGTACCCTATTTCGAGCGGTGGGCGTGATTGCAAAAATGGCACAAACCCACAGGCACCAGACTACGCAAACGCCAACATCGTCGCGGACCAGGGTGGGAGCGAAAGCAAAGACTTGAGCTTACATGTCCCATGACAGTATGATCCATTCGGACCAACCGCCCAACGCAGAGGCAAATGCTTGAGATCCACCAATTCTCGTGGCGTCTAGCAAACAAACGGGCAGTCTCACACCGCCAGACGGCACAGCGCTCCGCAATCACCCTGTCCAAGCGCTCTCGATAAAGCTACGAGGTGTCCGTGAGGCTTCGCCACGCAGATCCAAAGAACCTTGCCTCGTCACCAGGCTGTCCCCAGTGGTTCCGCGCGCCTATCAACCTAGGATGCTGCATGATCCGAGACGACGGCGCCCTTTTGGACCCCAGAGGCATGGGGAACCCAGAGTTTCTATCGAAAGGTTCGACCGCGACCTCGTCAGATATGGCGGCCCCCAACCTTTGGCCATACATCAGTCAGTGGTCGTTAAGGAGCTAAGCGCAGACTGGCCACCAATGATTCGTAGACGCATCTTGAGGGTGTCCGGCTTGGGTCACGCAAGGCCTGTACGCGCCGTAATGGTCCGAAATGGCCTGCATTCTGGTTGCTCCATGATGAGGTCCATGGTTTCCGACAAAGGCTATCATTAGCTCCAGCCTTCCGAGCATGAGCCGTGCGACCTCCCCGTGTGTCAGCGCCCCATGGACTTCGCGGATGTAGTTGCTGGGAAAGCGCGACCCATGTGTCATGAACCGCCGATGAGCCTTTGTACGTTGTAATATTGGGCCACATGAGTGAGCGCGCCCTCTGAAACTCAGAGGTGATCCAAGCCATGACCTATCACACATCTCAGCACGCGCGGGGACCAAACTTGGCCAGGCCTCCATCTTTTCAGGCTGGCCTTGTCAAAGGGCTTGGGCTCGGTTGTGGCATAGCCTTGTGTAAATGACGTTGTGGCTGTAGATCGAGCATGACAGCGCGTACTCTTCGCAGCATAATGTAGTCCAGGCTGTGGAGACTGGATGTCGTATGTTTCGCAAGAATGGCCTTTATATATAGCTCAGATCATGCCTGTTTCATAAAGTTAAAGGGAGAGAACTCATGATGAGCTTTCAACTCAGTGCCTCGAGCTTCCAACTACATCTTTCCAAACTGAAAGTGGACGGAATCAACACAATGCCCAGCCCAGCCTATCTCGCATTTGGCATCGAACTAGAGCTTTCCCTCGTCAGCTCGAAGAAGTTCTCATCATGGTCATCCATGGCCAAAGACATCAGTCATCGTCTGTCCAAAAAGGGAGTCTCTAATCAGGTCACCGAGAACCCAGATCATGCCTATCAGGTTTGGTCGATCGTTCAAGAGATCACGATTCCGAGTCTGCCTGCCAAGAATAAATGTAAGCGTCCCTTCTTCACCACACTGCTTCCTCCACTGACTGGGTAGGGGGGGTTGAACTTGTTTCGCCCATCTTCACACTGGACTCTTCTTGGCTCACAGATCTGGAGGTCATCTTCTCTGAGATTCGTAAAGTCTACAAGATCCAAACTTCATCTCAGTGCAGCACGCACATTCACGTGTCTCAGCTCGGCCACGACATGTCACCCCATCAGCTCGCAGCCCTAGCCCAAGCAGCTCTTGTCTACGAGCCATGTCTCGACATTCTAGTGCCCGGCGAAAGATCAACAGCGTATTGGTGTCGGGGCAACAGGCAAAACCCATTCCTCGCCACCATGCACTCTCTGTCGCATTGTCTCGACCAACTCGAAGTAGCATCAGCTCAAGAGGACGGAGTCGGCGCGATTGTAGAGTCCATGTGCCTCTTCCCAGCTTCGAGCCCGTATGGACGCGCTCACGGCCTGAAAAAGGACTTCATTCACGGCAAAGTCTACAAATGGAACCTGGCTCGCCTGCTTTCTCCCGATGCCGAAGCCCGGACGGTTGAGTACCGCCAACCAGCGGGGAGCACATGCGCTGAGGATGCGATGGGCTGGGCTCTGTTGACCTTGTGCTTCATTGTGGGTTCGTTCGAGTCTCGAAGCGGATCGGCTTCAAGCCTGGACGATGTCACACTGTGGGCTGAGTTCTGGGAGCATCTCTGTCGTGGCGCCGACGCGCTGAACTTGGATACCTTTATGCTGGACTATCTCCGGTCGTTCCTCGACATGAGAGCTAAGAAGTAATGATGAAGGCTTCTGCAGTATGGTCGACATCTTCGGGGGAGGTCACCGACTGTGGGTCATAGGACGAACGAAAGCAGTACGTGAGTAACAGATAACAAGTGTGAATTGACTAATATTCAACGTGATCCTGTATTGCAGCTATGCTCCAGCCTACTGTGGTACCTGTGACTCTCTCAACTACCCTCGCTAACACTCTACATGGAGTGGATCTACTCAAACAAGACCTGGCCCAGGCACTGTCACAGTCTCCATCAAGAACTCATGCGGCCCCTCATAGCTTTCCACAATCTTGCCATCTGCTCCAGTCTCTCTCACGATCTGCTTCTCAGATATGACGCGCTGCCCGTAAAGCGACGCCCGGCTCGTGAACGCCCACCAAGCTTGCAAGAGCATGCCGTCGCCATCGCCGACTCTCGCGAGGCTCCAGGTCACGGCGGGCGCATCCTGGCAGTACGACCGGGGCACCTCCGGCACGATAGGACCGGTTTCTGAGCTGTGCGTGCAGTTTGCAAAGGAGGCGCCGGGCGTAGGCCGGATGCCGAAGACGACGCTTCGAGTAATGTTTAACGAGCCGTTCGTGCGGGGCGGTTTCATAACTCACTAATTTTCGTCTGTCGAGCCGAAGCTGCCAGCGTAAAAACGCTCAAAGGCAAAGGACGCTGCCGGGCAGAGGGTGGCTTGGAGGATAACGAGGGCGAGGGCGTATGTCTTCATCGTGCAGCAGCAACTCTCGAGGCGTCTTCATCGGTGGCCTCGAACAAAGAGCCCGGGCTACAAGGCGTTGTAAGTTGAGTGAATGAGCGATTCTTATAAGGCTAACTTAAAAGGCTAAGAGCTCACCTGCGTGACGCCCCTCCTTCTCGATTTTGATGCCTGCGCCGTCCTTTGTCGTACTGCCAGTCATCATTCCAAGCACAAACTCGCAGCGCACAGGCGAAGCGCAATGCAAACTCTGTTGGGTAGAATAAGTAGGCGGGCGATCATGTTGCAAACATTGATGATATGGCTACGCCCGAGTTACACGCTGTCAAGGTGATGGGGAAACTTTCTTATTCAGAATTGTTTGTGTTGTATTGCAACGGTTCATGTCCGGGTTTGCTAACGCCTCAGTTACATCAGGCTTGTGCAGCCATACGCCTGCTCATGCCTCGACGGCACCTTGCTCAGCGATGAGCCCACACTTGCTACAGAGCATGCGCGACTTTCCTGCCAGCCATCTAATTTTGAAGTCCTTGTTGCCGCACTTGTGACATGTCAATGTATCAGCTACCGCTTCACTGCTGTAGTCAGAGCTGAGCTGGCTGACGAATGAGTCACGCTGATCCGCCGTTCCGTTCAGTACATGTGAGGCGCCAGTGGTGGCTAGGTCGATATCAAACGTCTCGTCCTGATCCGTGATTGGCGACTGCAGTGTTGAGTCCAGAGCCTCGGCAGTGGCTGTTGAGTCCGGCAGAGGGCCTGAAGCAGCGCTTTTGGACCTTTTAAACGTTTCGCTGTCCTTGGAAGGCCCGATTGTTGAGGTTCCGGACACACTTCTTGGTGTCATGGCGTGGTTGGTTGATATGTTGGCCGAGCCAGTGGAATGGCGAGACGATGCCGATGTCCCTCGCCATCGACCCAGGTTCCAAAATGAGTACGTGCTTGCCGGCGAGCCTGGCTGGGCTACTGTCCCATCATCCTCGGCCCGCTGAATGAAAAAGCTCGGTGTTGGTGGCTGCATTTGGGTCTCTTCACGTTCGAGTCTCTTGGCCATGCGCGGGCTATTGGCAGCGCTCGATGAAGGGCTGGTCGGATGAGGCCCCCGCGACAGAGGTTGTGGGTCAGCAGAGGTCTTCTTGCGCGACTCGGGAGCTGTGGTGATGGGCCTCGCAATGAGCGGGCTGGCATGTGTTGCTTTGACAAGTTTACTCGGGGATGCAGAACGCTCGCTGTGCATGGATGCGGCACCGACCAGACTGTTCCGAGCACTGTCGGCCGAGATGCCTTGCCGCCACGAGTTGATACGATCAGAATTCATCTGGACTCCAGGACCTAGGTTGGTGGGATGTGCAGGCTGCGTCAGAGACGCTCGCCTTGACTGAGGATGACTGCTGGCACTTGTTCGTGTGATGATGCTGCCGCTGCGACCGACCATGCCACTTGTGCCTACCATTTTGCGCGAAAAGCTGGAGCCCGTGTCCCAGTTCTCATGGCGCCGCTTTGCGAAGGCACAGTCCTGGCGGAAAACCTTGACAGATCCCGACTGGTCTGCCGTGACTATGATGTTGCCGTCGTAATGCTTTGACTTCTCAACATAGGCAGCCGACTCTCGCGGCTTCTTTCCGTGCGCTTGTGTCGTTGGTTGTGCTGCATCTCCGGGGGCTGTCTGGCTCGCAACAAGAGATTCCTCTAGGCTCATGAGCTTCACAGGCGGCGGATTACACAGGTCGTAGAGGGGGTCACCCGAAGCGCCGAGTCGTTGGCGAGTTTTCGTCGGTGCAAAGATGGCTGCGGAAACCCGCGCCGAATGAGCATTGAAGTACTCGACCGGTACCTTATCCTTGACCTCGGGATCACTCGGGTCCATGGACCAGATGAAAGCCTTCTTATCCTCGCTGCCGCAAATGACCCATTTCGCATCATCACTCAGGTCGGCATGAATTTGACTGCATTGGTTCTCGTGCCCCTTCAGCTTGGCATCGATCATCTTGTCCTTCATATTGTAGATGCGTATCCTCGAGTCGTTGGAAGTAATGAGCACTTTGGTCTCAACCTCGGCGGCGCCCACTTGCGTGTCAAGGGTCTTGATGCCTGTGATCTTGCTGCCCTTGGCGTTTTTACCTCTCGAGGATCGCACAAGCATCTGGGTCTGGAGTTTCAAGCCCTCGGTATCGTAGAAAAGGCAAGTGCCGTTGAGCACACCGCCAATGGACGTTTTGCCATCTGGCGTGAAAGCCACAGCAGTGACGAGATCTGGGAGTTGTACGGAGTAGGCGACCGCCTTGTCCGGGATGCTCCATAACCGCAAGACGGAATCTAGAGAGCCAGCTAGGAAGAAACGGTCATCGGTGGGGTGAAAAGCAATGGACGTGACGAAGTCCTTGTGACGAAAAGTACAAAGACATTCCTGTCGGCTCATGTGCCACAGGCGAACTGTCTTGTCCATGGACGAGGAAAGAAGGAAATTGTTCTTGCTCCAGCTGAGATCCAGGACCTCGCCGGTGTGGCCAGTAAACTCGCGGATTGGCTTGCTTCGAAAGACGGGGGCACTAAGCCGGGCTTCGGCGGCAGCGCTGGCATTCTCTTCCTCCTCGTGTTGTCGACGCTCCTCGTGTGTCGACAAGACCGACCAGACACGAACAACTTGGTCTTTTCCAGCAGCTGCAAGATACTGTCCGTCCTTGCTGAATTCCAGCGCCCACACAGCACCGGTCTTATGTGGGCGCTTCTTTCCACTCGCGGCAGACGCTGCTGACGACGGTAGTTCGGTCTCATCGTCGGGCTGCGGGGCGGTTGACAGCTCTTGCGCCAGGAACATGCGGTTGAATTCGCGAGTCTTCTTGTGGTGGGCGCGAACCTTGATATATCGCGGAGGTTCCTTGTGGTGCGGGATATAGCCGCCGGCGCCAATGGAAGAGGAGAAGACGTGGGCATCGGTGCCGTCGAGTCTTGGCTCGCCTAGCTCAGACAGGTCGTCGGCGTCGTCGTCTTTCTTCCGGCCGCGCATGCTAAGGCGACTGAGAAAAGATACGCCCTTTCTGCGCAGAGTGAGGCGTCAGCAATTGTATTGACAAACCACGGGTTCACTGCCACTGGGAGAGGCGTACTTCTTGTCTCGGAGCGGATCTGTCGGAGCGACCCCGGCATGCTTTGGCGTCGTGTCGGAGCCGCGTCTTTGGTGACCAAGAACGTCTGGGGCTGGGCTCTCCGGCCGACCCGGATATCGTAGACGAGGCGTAGTGGAGTTGTTTTCGGTATTGGTTCGCATCAGGATATGCTAAACGATTCGAGCAGCTGTCAGCACAGCAATGCATTGCTGACATTGGGTTCGGGCTGGCAAACAGGGTGTGTGGCCAGACTAAGGCCTTACCTGTGATAGGGGATCAATGGCGGAGGCGGCCGCAGCGACAGACGACGGCGTCTGCTGGGCGCTGGGCGACGTCCGGGCCGGCGTCTTAACGTCTCGTACAGCGGTTCCATCTTTCGAGGTAACGGTTCGGGCCAGCTTGGTGGGCGTTCTCCTTAGGCCGGAGGGCAGAAAGCTGTTGCCTACGATGTCACGACGGGTCAGTAGTCGGGTCGCACCTCGCACCTCGGACCCGCGCCGCTATGCGAAACTTCACAGTGCGTGCGCCGCCCAGCCCTCGTTGTGGGTAATAACAACCAACGGTGGACAATGCGCATCGGACAGACAAATGGAATGCAGGCCACATGGACGTACCATGGTCATCCGATATGGAGACTCTCAAGCTCGTTTCTGCCTGCTGCTGCTGCTGCTGCTGCAGAGGTGCGCGGGGTGCCTCATGGCTTGGCCGCGAGGTGCTCGGCTTCGGGCTCGCTGAGCGAGTCGCGCTGGCCGTCATGGCGGCCGCAGCCACGTTGAGCGCTGACGGCTTGTCTCGACGACGGTTGTCAGCAGACATGCTGACCGACACAGAATTCGGCATGTCCCATCACGCGGTTTGAGTTTGAGCTTTCAAAGGGGTAAGGAGACATGACCCCTGAGAAGGGGCGGCAATGTCGGAACTGGGTTAATTGGCCCGGATGGGGTGGATGGATGGAGGTTCGATTCTCGCAGGCGAGACCGAGATGGCTGGCGTGGGAAAAATGCGAGACATCCGACGAGGCCGGAGTGCGCGGACTGGATGGGTAACCGAACGGATTGTCGGACAGATTGGTGGTTAGCGACAGGCAAAAAGCGAGGCCGACGGGAAAGCCCAGCCCACCACGACAGACCAGGGCTCCCAAGGTGCGGCAACCAAATCGAATACAGCCGCGCCGTGCGAGCAAGGCCGAAGTCCGTGGAGACTGGAAGCTGACTGGATGGATAAAATTAGGTCGGAATGCGAAGATACGACGCAATGCGAGCGTACGATGATATAGCTCAGAGCCGTGCAATGCGAAGGGATGGGTCGCGTCGTGTTCGGTTTGCTCGAGGCTCAAGCTCCCAGGGCCCAGGGAGGAGGGGGGGGGATGGAATGAGGGAAACGAAATGAAGAGAGACGAATTTTGATTCCTCATCACCTACCTGGTAGGTATGGTAGATCAGAGTCAAGGAAATCCAGGAGGACCAAATGGTCCATCAATTGCCTTCCGCCATCACATCTTAGGACGCTCTAGCTTTTGTCAGGCGTCGTGGCTCCGGATGCGCCTTCCTCAAGGACTCCAGCATTGGCACCTGCCAAATGGGAATTGTGAATCCGACGTAACTGATGAAAACGGCATGACCTCATGTACAGTAAGGTACCTAGCTCTGGTCCATACAGTGGGTGGCTCACTAAAAGCCAACCGTTTCTTGGGCATTGCCAACGGGATTCGAGTGCCAAGGCTGGTTTCTTATCGATAGACTCGATTCGATAAGAGGGGTCTTTCGATAAGCCTTCCCCGCCCCCGCCATGGCTCGATGATGCGTGAACAAGGTCGCGATCTCTGTTAGGCTTGAGTCTGTGTGCCCAGTAGCTTCTTCTGTGACGTCAACTTGGATCCCACGTCGCGCCAGCTTTTTGTTGTTTCGCTCAACACCATCAGAGCCGTATTTTCTGTTCGAGGAATCCTGCCGGGCCGCACACAACGCTCCCAGTCGACGCCATCCGAGGCGAGAAAGAACGATGAAGCTCACGTCGACGAAACCTTCGCAATATGTTGCGGAAGACGCTGTCACACTGACAGCCGAGGACTCGGAAGACATGGTGCGTCCAATCGTCTCCCGCATGGCTTGCAGGCCTTCTCTGACTTTCTCCTCGTCCAGTGGCACGCCTACAACTTGATCACAGCCGGCGACACCGTTGTCGCACACGCCGTCCGCAAGGTTGTCTCCGAAACGAAGACCGGCAGCACGCAGTCCGAACGAGTGCACACAATGCTCGCCATCAAGGTCAAATCCACCTTTTTTGACCCCATTGCCGGCCAGCTGCAGGTCAGCGGCGTCGTCAAGTCCGAAAACGCCTATGTCAGCCTGGGCCAGCACCACACCCTCGACCTCGAGATCGGCCGCCCCTTCACACTGAGCAAGCCCGAGGGCTGGGACTCGGTCGCGCGCGACACACTGAACGAGGGCCTTTCCGACGACAAGGACGGCGCCATGGCCGCCGTCGTCATGCAGGAAGGCATCGCCAACATTTGCCTGATCACGCAGTTCCGCACCGTCGTCAAGCAGCGCATCGAGAGTGTCGTGCCGAAGAAGAGGAGCGCCGCGTCAGACACTTCAGAGGGCATGCGCAAGTTCTACCAAAAGACTCTATCGAACCTGTTGCGAACGGTCAATTTTGACCAACCGCGGCCGCTGTTGCTGGCGAGTCCTGGATTCATCGCTGTGGATTTCAAAAAGTACATTGCGGGTGAAGGCCGTGACAAGTCGGACAAGAAGCTGTCGAATATCGCCAAGGAGGCCATTGTTGTGCACACAAATTCCGGTCACGTCCACAGCCTCAACGAGGTGCTCAAGAGTCCGGAGATGGGGAACAAGCTCAAGGACTTCAAGTTCACCAAGGAGACTAAACTCATGGACAGCTTCTTTGACAAGTTGAGGGTGGATGACGGGAGGGCGTGGTACGGCACCTCGGCGGTGACCAAGGCCGTGCAGGAGGGTGCGGTCGGTCCAGGCGGAGGCACACTCATCATGAACAACTCTCTGTTCCGTAGCTCCGATATTGCCACGAGGAAACAGTACGTGGCCCTCGTTGACAAGGTGAAAGAAGACGGAGGTGAGGTCAGGATCTTGAGTAGTGATCACGAGAGTGGGCAGAGACTCGACATGCTTGGCAGCGTAGCCGCTCTCCTGTCATATCCGATCGCAGACCTCGACGACGAGGATGCAGACGATGCGGACGGTGTCGAGGGCGCGGATGACGTGCAGATAATATGAGCTGGACTCTTTGATCAGTGCAATTGTGCAATCTTCGCACGTTAATGTTGGTGATGTTTGGGGCGCGACGCATCTCATAGGTGGAACCGTCTCGGGTTAAAGAGGCCGAAACAGAGCGACACTTAGCTAAGCCTGATGGGTCCTCACAGCCATCTCCGTCACGGCCCCCTCATGATCATATTGTGAATTGACGCAACATTCTGTGCTTGGAACTTGTCACTGGCTTAAGCATTGGCCTTCTGAAATTCGTCATGGCTCCTCAAAATCTTCAGTCCAAGATCAAGCTGAACAACGGCTATGAGATCCCCGTTGTCGGCTATGGCGTAAGTGGGGGAATCCATCTAGACATTGAGCTCGGCTAACTATCAATTGAACAGCTATGGAAGACGTGAGTAACCGCCTTATTCGAAGTATATATGGGCTCTCCGGCTAACAGGGATTCGAGACCTCCTGAGCAGGCTGAGGAAGTCTGCGGTGAGGCATTGAGGGCTGGCTACCGCCATGTAGGTCACACGGATGGGATACGTCACCAAACGACTGACTGACATGTTTAGATTGACTCTGCTGCCTCCTACAAGAATGAGGCCGGCGCCGGAGCCGCCATCAAGAAGGCGACCGATATACCCCGCTCTGAGATTTTCTTCACCTCCAAAGTCCGCCTCATCAACTACGAAGACTCCAAGGCACAAGTCGAAAAGACGCTGAAGGAGACGGGGCTAGAGTACATTGACCTGATGCTTCTCCACTGCCCCTACGGTGGCTCCGAGGGTCGCAAGGGTGCTTGGAAAGCCCTCGTTGAGGCACAGGAGGCCGGCAAGGTCCGTTCCATCGGTGTCAGCAACTACGGCGTCCACCACCTCGACCAGCTGGAGACACACATCAAGGAGCTCGAAGCCGAGCGCGGCGGCGCCGGCAAGGGAGGTGTAATCAACGTTGTCCAGTATGAAATTCACCCGTGGTGCGCGAGGAACGACATCGCCACGTGGTCCAAGCAGCGCGGCATCACTGTCGAGGCATACAGCCCCTTGGTTCGCGGCGAACGGTGGGGTGAGGAGAACCTGCAGAAGCTGGCCAAGAAGCACAGCAAGTCTGAGGCACAGGTACTCCTGCGCTGGAGCTTGCAGAAGGGATACGTGCCGCTGCCGAAGAGCGTGACGCCTTCGCGCATCCGCGACAACACCAATGTCTTTGATTTTGAGTTGTCAGAAGTGGACATGAAGTCCCTGGAGACGACCGAATATGCCCCTGTCTGCTGGGACCCTGCAATCACTCCTCTTGAGGGTCCCCTGAGCGGTTAGAATCATTCCTGAATGAATGAATGCATGTTGCAGATCATGTGATTTCGTCTGCTACGTGGAAAGCCCGAAATTACGTCGCCTGATAAGCATCAATCAGGTTTTCTCGGCTCGTCATGGGTTCAGGACGACGAGTCGCACTCTTGATCGCCTCCACTACATCGTGATTCATTCCATGGATAATGCCTTGGTACCTTTGTCTCATTTCGTGAGGGTATTCAGCAAGGTCGGGAATTGTCCACTGATCGTAACAGGCGCCGTGAGTACTTGAGGGGAAATAACTTCCATGTCGGCGAATGAACAGGTAGCAGAGATAACAGAGGTATTTCGAGGCCCCCATACACCTTGGTCTAGTCAGGAAAGCACCGGTAGCGCCGTTCAGATCGTGGTATACCGAGAGCATGACTTCGGCATGGACATGAGTCGATGCCGCCCACGGCTGGTAAGCAACTTCGATGGGAGTTGCTTCATACGGGGTCAAAAAGATAAGCTCAACGTCTCCAAAGAGGCCCGAAAACTTTAGTGCGTAGTCCGTCAACGTCGTGGGAATTCTGTAATACGCCGCAATCTTTTCGACCTGGTGCAAGGTCTTAAGGCAGGCCTGAATCTGCGAGGTTGCCCGCACTTTCTGGAGGCGATGAAGGAACCCCGCTACCTCCTTCGAGACGCAAAAATCAAAGCACGCACGGATGAGATCGAGGCGCTGCTGGGCTTCTGCTGCCGGCCCTCCTTCCGGGGCTACTTCGAAAGCTTCGAGGACTGACGCGAGAGAGGCAAGGCGCGCTTCGATATTGACGCGCTGTGAGCGCTCAGAGCGCGCATAAAGTAGCTGAGCTCTGTGTTTCAGATTCTCAAAATCTGCAAAGAGAGGCTTTTTGTGCGTCCTGGCGAGGTATGTCGGCTTCGTCCACCTGACCGAGCGCAGGCGATTCAAAAGGCGTTGACTGTGGTGTCCGGCAATCTGACCGAAGATATCTTGAAGCACGGCGCTCTGGTTGCCCGTGGCCACTGTCGAAAGACATTTGAAGATGCCATTGAGAAAGCTCTGGGCAGATTCGTCGATGGCATCAACAGAAGCAACTGTAAATCGAAGGCTAGGCCTCGACGAACCGTTGGACAGATGGGTTGACTCTTGGACTGTAGCTGCTGCCACAGACTGTGCGCCTTCGCCGACGGCAGCGATGAAAGAGAGATCATCGGCGAGCTGCTGTTCTTGTAATAGCGAGAGCTGATAGCTTGCCGACTTCTCAGAGACGGGGTCCCAGCTTGACACGGGAAAATGCTGGCAATCAAGAGGCACGGCATTCGTCTGTCGCTCAAGAGCTACAACATTGGAGCGGAAGATTGCCTCAAGTGTGGTGTCCCATATTGAAGAGCCAGGCAAGGCTGTCCGGGTTGGTTGACGCGCATGGTATGGCATTGCTGTTGCAGAGTGCGTACCTAGGCTGGTGGGTTGCTCGCTCGGTAAGATGTGGAATGCAAGAAGGGTAGCATAAGTTTGTGGGTCATGGGGACGCAAACTATGCAGGGCAATCTCTGGAACAATCAAGAAACACCACATAGCATCTCCCTCTGGAGTCTTGAGAATATAAATGAGATATGACTATTGTATTTCGCTGGTTTTTTACTTCAATCGAAGTGCCACAAGGTTCAGGATCCGCCAGTCTTTCGCCTCGCGCTCTCTGCGCCTTCAAGTGAGTTTCACGACATGCCCTTGCATTCACAGATTTCATACATCATGATCTTCAAGTTGCTCAATTCTTGAGCGTCGTAGGTATCATTAAACGCTAATCGTACGGAAGATGCTGAACTCATCACCCGTGGCCACCAAGCTGCCCGTGATCTGGGGGTGCCAGTGCAGCTCCTTGACATTCGAGAGATAGTGGACGAAGAGCAGCTGGGGAGGCACGTCCTTGACGCCGCCCGTATCCTTGCTCTCTTCGTCGTCCAGCTCGACAGCTAGATCCCACAGCGTGACGGTGTTGTCACCTGCCGCCACAGCAATGATACTGTCGTCGGACGGGTGCCACTCCACGCTGGTGATCTGCTCCTTGTGGTAGTCAAAGCTGGCAATGGGGGTGGGCTTGTCGCCCGTTCCCTTCCAGTGACGGAGATCCCAGACGCCAAACACACCATCATCGGCGCCAGAGGCCAGCAAATGGGTGGTCTGGCGAGACCAGGACAGCACGTTCACATCCGTGTCGCTGACCTGGACCGTCAGGGCGGGTTTCCTGCTCTTACTCCTGACGTCCCAAATCCTCACCGTGCCGTCGCTAGACGCCGAGGCGAAGACGGACTGTTCCGAAGGGCTCCACTGGATGTCTTCGACACTGCTAGTGTGGCCTTGGAAAGGACGGGTGTCGGTAACGAAGCCCCCGCCATCAGTGCGGGTGGTCGCATAGATCAGGCCGTCGTTGTCACCGGTGAGGAGCTTGCCTCCAGGGACGATAGGCGACCAGTCCACCGCGTATCCCTCGGCCTTGTGCGCGCGAATCGTCGACACAGGCTTGTTCTGTTGGGCGGTGATTGTGGTGCCGGGGTTGTCGAACGATGTGAGGTGCGGAGTGATGTCGTGGATGAAGATGTTGGTCGACTCAGTCATCGTGGCCGTCAGTGTTGTAGGTGGCCTCGAGGCATCTTGTGAGGGAATCTGGTGCGCACGAATACGGTTGGTCGTCGAGTTGAGGGGGATCGTCTTGGACTCGAGGATAGGGTCGGAATCCTCGTCGTCGTCATCGTCCTCCTCCTCGTCCGACTCGTCCTCCTCGAGCTTGTCCATCCGGCTCAGACCGCTGAACTTCATGACCATCAGTCCGTTTTCCTCAGCGCGATCACTCGCCGCCTGGGTACCGGAAACCGAGTACATTGTGGCGGGGTAAACCTTGCGGTTGTCGCCAAGGTTGTCGCGGAGAAGGTCGAACGAAAGGCAGGGCCACGGCGTGTTGAGGTTGTGAAGCATTTGGTACGTGGTGAGATCGGGTGCCAGCGTTTGGCCTGGCTCGAGCTTGCTCCGGCCGACGATGAAAGTGCCTTGGTCAACTTCCATAGCACCTGGGGAAAGAAGGTCAAACACAAAGTCTCGCGCAAACGTCAGAGAGCAACATACCCTTCTCCTCAGCCTCGCGCTCTGCGTCTGGTCGTCCGTCAACTCCAGCCTCCAGAATCTCATCCTCGCTTTCGCTTTCGAACTCGTCCTCGAACTCGTCTTCAAACTCGCCCATCTCGTTGTCGCCGTCAACGTCCATCTTCTCAGGACGATCACCGGCCTTGAGGGGGCCGTCGCCCATTTCTGTGTCGGCCGTTCGCTTCGACATCTTTCAAGGTTTCCTTATTTGCGAAAGGATCCGTTGTATCGTGTCGAGGAAAGTGCCTGGAGTCGCTGTCGCAAAAAAGACCTAGTCCGTTATGGCGGCCCCTCTGAACCAATTTTTATTTTTTTTTAAATCGATTGGGGATCGACCCCGCGGCCTGTGGCTTGTGCCTGGGCTCAGTGGCTGATAGTTACCCCGCCAAAGCACCTGAATGCGCATCACATGACCGCGCGGCCACTGCGCGCGTTGCCACTTGTTTGGCAAAGTGTGTCGAGCGCGACCCCACTGTCTAACTCATTCACACTGCCCGGTCCTGGATCATGCAATCCTGCATCACTCGTTTCTGCACGTATGGAACACACATTTACTCCAGCGCCTACATTCTGATTCACGTAGCGCTCTGATTTCTTCTGACTCACTTGATATACTTGTGAGGCTCTATTTTCACGTGCTGATGGGCCTGCCAGCAATCCAAACGAGGCATGGCTAGCCATCCGCCATCATGACGTTGGAACAGCGCAAGTTCAGCGCCGTCCCCGACAGGCTTCGCCCTGTCGGCAATGTGCCACTCTCCGACGCAGACCGACGACCGATGACCTCGAAGCAAGCGAAGAAGCTGCATCTCGAGAGAAATCGCGGGCCTCGCTTGACGAAACAACAGCAGCGAGAACGCGACCGGGATCTCCAGGCCGAGATCCGACGAGAGATCGCGGAAAAGGAAAAGGCGGAGAGGCAGGAGAAAGACAGGGTTCGGCAGCAGGCAAAGGCCAGAGTCCTTCGCGATAAGAAAAAGGCGAAAGAGGATGCTGAGAAAGATGCAAAGCGCAAGGCTGGCCTTCCGCTTGCGACATGTCGTCCCAGTCAGGATACGATTGCTCGATTCTTCAAGTCAAATCGCGTCGAGAAGAAGACGAGTATTTCAGGACTAGATCAGCGGGAACATGAGGAGCCCATGATACCAAGATGCCAAGCAGAGGAAGCAAGGCCAGGCTCGAGCCAGAGTTACGGAGAACAGCAGCATGTCGAGTCGCCAGCAGCTCCTACAGAAGTTGCGAAGCTTCAAACACCTACACAACTCAAGCATTCCGCAGTACCTTCGACTGAACTGCTTCGCTTGCCTGCCATCAGAGAGCAGGAAGAGCTCACGGATAAGGGCAACGACACAGACGATGAACCAAGTGCGGCGCCATCATACACGGAACTCCAGAAAGAAGCACAGCTTGAGGTGCCTAGAAGTCCTCCGAAGAAGCGCATCAGGCTAGATAAAGAGGCTGACGATCAAGCATGTTCACCACCGCTGATCATACAGCGAATACCGAGCCCCAGCCGCCCTTCTTCTGCCTCAATTTCACCGGCGAGAAACATGGCTTTGCAGCATGATCGGCCTTTGGCTGACAGCGCATACTCCACCGTCCCTGCACTTGATTGCGTACAGGATCGCATCCATGCTTCACATTCTCCTCCTGTCAAGGTGCCTGGCACCGAGGCAGTAACAAACAGGCTGTCTCGCGACCAAATCAACCGCCCTGGCTTCATTCGAGCTTCTGCGTTACGCGAAACCCCAAAACATAGGGCTGTGCCACGGTTCGTACGACCGCCGCACCCATCCGCCTACAAGGATCGCCAATCCAGGCCCGACACTGGCTCCGGCTCCCGCAAGTTTCTGCAACCTGTAACGGAAAGAGTGCTTTGCAAGGACTCACCTTCAATACCGCCGCCGTCCAGCACGCTTGCGTTCATCAACGATAACCTGGATGACTTTTTTGGAGATTGTTCTCAGTTGGCGCTCGAGGGTGCAATCACGGAGAAGGGTGGCAATGTCCAAACCGACAAGCTGTCAAGCCAAAGCCGCAAGAGACCAGGCGAAGCAGCTCCATTAGACGTGTGCAAGAAGGGTCGACCTTCTCCTGCGGTTGCGCCCGTGGTGAATCTGCTCCCAGAATTCGGAGATCTGGACAGTCTGTTTCCCAGTGGCACGCAACTCCAAAGAGAGCTGTTGGAGGACCAGGTTGTTTCAAGTGTCCACGACGTCGGCGCCAAGCCTGCCGTTCGAGGCGAGACTATCCAGCGAGCGGGCTCAGATGGTGCACCCGCCAGCACAAAGAAACAGTGCCCCAAGCAGAATCGTCTCACTCTGCTTCAGGCAGATGCGGGCGACGCCATGCCGTTCTTCTGCAGCCAGGACTTCAACCTCTCGCCTCAGGACATGCAGGAGATCGAATCACCGCCCGTAACGGTTGCGAAGACAGCACGCCGGGACACACCAGAGCGCATGGGGCATCAAGCAGAACAAGCTGCGCCGTGGATACCGATGACCTGGAAACGCAGACGACCAGTCTTGCAGAGTTTCGCAACCGGCAGGACTCGCCATTCGAAGGGCATGATGCAGAAACCTCGGCCTGATCCTAGCCAACGAGCCAACGCCCGCGCACCACAGAACGTGCTGGAGATTCACCACCCCGAGCCTCCAGCCGTGGTCAACGCGTCAGACCACCCCGCAACGACAGGCCAGCGCGCGCCACTGCGACCGATCAGCAACCCTCCAGACGCCGCGCAACCGCCGCAACAAGCCGTGTCGTCGCAGGACCTGGCGGCCATGCTCGAGGCAGACTGGGACGACGACTGCCTGCAAGCCCAGCACCGGCAGCAGGAGCACGAGAAGGAGCCGCGAAAGCCACGCCCCGAATCCAGCGAGCCCCAGGATCTTTGGGACGCAATCTCATCCCAAGACCTGCGGGCCGTCTTTGCGGAAGAAGACTGGAGCAACTTGGCTGTCTGAAGCCGAGGCTCCAAAAAAAACTGTGCGCTGTGCATCAGGAGAACGCCAGGAGCGAGAGGGGCTAGCTGTTGCTTTTGCAGGGGGTGCGTCGCTTTTGTTATGGATACTGGGAAACAGGCGCTAGGAAAGATCGGAGACTCGTGGTGAGCTTGTTGGGAGAAACGCTGTCTCGGGACAGACTTGAACATACTTAAGCCGATGTGGACGACGGCTGGGCGCTTGGGAGAAATTTGCAGGGTGAAGGAGGAGCATTGGTGGGCGTTGGTACGACATTTTGATGGATTCTGGGAGTTGGAGAATTGATACCCATTTGTTTTCGTTTTCGAATCAATCATCAAGGCGTCTGTTGGTCTGCCGCCAATACGGCAGACTTACCTTGAATCTTCACCTGGGTGCTGTGGCACGGTGCGCGACCCCTTTCACCAACCGCGTTAGCAAGGTGACCAATGATGTTCGTCCATTCGTGTTCATATACAAGCATGCGACATGCACTTGACAGCGGGCACACTCTCAAAGTGTTGAAAAACTGGATAACGAAATTCAGATCGTCCTAGCCTTTGGCACAAGGCACACGACACATGAACTGTAAAGAGCCAAGCCAACGCTGCCTCCCTAGCCCGGCCGAATAGGGCCATGCCTAGAAACGCCATCCCATGCATAACCGTGAACCCTCATGTCCAGTCCAATCCGGGGCGCCTCATAAATTCCCCCAATACCTGTTAGACTGGGTGCGTTGTCCAGCCTGTTCACAAAAGGCCTCATAACCCGCGGCACAAAGCGGTCGTTCACACCGTGGTTCTCTCTCGCCAACTCTTCTGCTCATGCCTTGAACGAGCGCTTTTGCCGTGCATCGTAGGCTACAGATAAATGCCAACCCATGATCCCTTATTGGTGACTTGCGTGTCACAACCTTCAACAGCGCACGACAATTTGTGGTCTCGCCCGGCATGAAGGAATCCCGTGTTGGGTCTCTTGTTCGTGGGCTTCCTGTTCTCATAGCAGTCCTCGCAGTAAACCTTTGTATCACATCGCATTAGCAAATGAATCGGTCACGACAAAGTAGGTAGTGTAAACATACATGGCCACAGCCCTTGAGCGCCCAGAAGTGATGCTCACTTCGGGGCCGCTTGCCAAGTCGGGTACTGCGAGACGCCTGAGGTGCAGGAGCAGAAGGGGCGTCGAGGGGGTCGTAGGCTAGCTCTTCGTTGCACGCAGGACAGACAAATGCCGAGCTATTGTCGGCCTTGGTATCTCGAGAAAAGCCAGAACGTGCTGCAGGGGGTGGGACGTGGACAGGTTTGGGTGATGGAGGACGCTGGTCAAAGGCGCTGCGCTGATACTGAAGTTGGATGTGGCCAACGGGGTTAAAGGGATTGCCCATCATACCCTCCACCATGTCGAGGTTGCCATCTGCTGGGTCAGGGTTGAAGAGGTTAAGAAAGGGCAAATGATGCAAGAAGTTACGCCGCAGCCCATTAAGCATGTTGGCCTGACGGGAACGGGCTCGCGACTGCACGCCTTCCCGGCGATTTGGCTGCTGCTGCCTCGGGATCGGGCGCTGGTTGAGGAACAGGAGCTCCGGGGAATGAACCGCCCGACGGGACGCCTGGGGCCAGCGTGTACCCGGCAATAAGGGTGGTAACGGACGGTCGGGGGCATCGTCTGTAAGATCTATGACTGGCGGACCGCCGAGAATGCTGCTGTCGCTGCGAGCAAATGCGGGTGGGTTGCGGGCTTGAGAGTTTTGGCGGCGAACGTTTTGAGAGACAGGCCGGGCGTGCGCCTGTATCGGGCTGTCGGGCTCATTTGTGAGGTCGATGACTTCAGCAGCACCAGACTGCCGGGATCCTTGTCGCTGAAGCGCGGAAGGGGCGTGATGTCGTGCATCCAGTTCCACATCAACGAGAACATCGCGAGCGTGGCGCGAGCGAAAACTGTCGCGCCCAGGGTACTCGTCACCCTCGGAACTAAGCAGATGAATAGGCGAGAAAGGCCGTCGTGCAGCATTTCGGTTAGGCGGTCCCGGCGCGGGCCTCCTCGCACCGCTTGCGTCGCTTGCTCTTCCATCGCCATTTTCTAAAAGTCGAAGAAGATTCCCCACTGCCCTGCCGCCCTGGTCGGCGCCGCTGCCTTGGCTTGTTGCACCTTGGGACGCGTGGAGTGGTTGCCGGATATGAGGGTTCTGTGCCTCGAGCTCAGCCTCTAGGCCCTCAATCTCGGCAAAGTCAAAGTCGGAGTCGATCTCGCCCATCCAGTCCAGATCGTCGCCAAAGACACCCAAAGCCACATCGCGAGCTAATGCCACATCTCGGGGGTCGGCGCGTCGGTTCTGTAGGTCCAGTGCTTCTGGTCCTGAGCTGTAAGGAGGAAGGCTGCCCTCGGCAACTGATTGGTAGGAGTGGTTGGAGGGGGATAGCGAGTGTGTTTCGGAAGACTCCATGTCGTCGCCCAGAAGTTCTGGCTCAAAGTCGGGATCATTGTCGTCGCGAAACATGTGGTCAAGGAAAATGGGAGGGAGCGCAACGGGCGAATCGCCTGCGTCCGCCATGATTCGTAAGTCTTCATCACTGTCCAGGCTGTCTAGTGACACATGGCCGTCGTAGGGTGATAGGTCGTACTCGTCGCTGCCTACAAAGAGGGACGCTTCGGGCGACGACGCAGCCATGCTGCCTGTCGACTTTGCGGAGGAGAGCGAGGTCGTCGAGGTGGGCGGGTCGGAGAGTTGGAGAGTTGGAGAGTCGGGTATCGAGGTCTATAAAATGTCACTCGGCCGATCGAGCGCGGTCGGGCGGCAAAGAGACAATGATGTTGGTTTTCGAATCCTCTGCTACGACGCTGAGAAACATGTGCTCTTCTCAGCCGTCCTTGCTGGTGGGGAAAGGGTGGCCGAAGGGGCAAAAGAAGTCGTCGTTATCGAGTCGGAGATAAAGGGCGCTGGCGGAGAAAGGCGCAAGGTTCTCAGTCGAGCGTTCCGAAGCTTAGGAATTATTGCAGTGGCGAGGCTGCAACAAATGATGCACATTGACCCTGTGTGCACTCGAGATGTCGACCCGCCTGCGGACAGCGGAGGAAAGAAAGGCGATGGAGGCGAGCGGGTCGCTAAACACTGCAGGCCCTTGGGCGAAAATGTCGTGATCGGTGCGTAGGAGATGTAGGATGTCGAGGCTCAAGGCGGCTGACGACTGATGCAGTGTTATGTTTCGTCGAACGCAATGTCGAGGTTGAGTCAGACACCCAAGGTAGGCGCCTAAGTAAGGTACCTAGATAGGCAGTCAGGTAGGTTGACGGCGGGAGTCTGAGGCAGCCGGCATGGCCCGCCAGGTGGGAAGTCGCGCTGTGGTGAATGACGGTCCACGAGAGTTGGGGGTGGTGATGATGCTTTGCCAGGAAGGTGATGATGCACTGGGTACCTGCCGTAAAGTACCTTTACCTTATTGAAAGGAAGCGCCCCCAGGGATTCGGGTCCGGGCTTTGGTGAACAGGCGTGATTACCTATTCACGTAGGTATGCAGGTATCCATCGATGGTCTTCTCAGCCGGTCCGCCACAATGGGTGATTCCGCCTTTCAGGTGTTTGTTCTGGGTCGATCGAGGGGGGGCAAGGGGGGCAAAGACAAACGTCACTACGTACTTGCCCTGAGGCAGGTGCAGTCTAGTGCACCGTGCAGGAATTGGTAGGCAGGCAGGCAGGCAAGGCAGGCCACAGGCTTAAAAGCCTCAAGTCGAGTTGCAGTGTGGGGCCTTTCAAATGCCATTCAGCAGCCGCCGCCCTCAAGGCGCGTATCGTTGCCCCCTGGTCCCTGTGACCTTTTAGGACCAACTGCCGCGAGGCTTAACAACATGCCAGGCATTATCCGATCCTGCAGCAGGTACATCTCCTGTGGGTGGTTCACTAACAGTCTACCTAGGTACCTTACGGTAGTTAGTAAGGATGCCAGCTCGCGCCGTGACCATCAAGCCATGTAGGAAGCCGACACATCTCTCTCTCCTTGCAGCTGATGTGCGGTATACCGCCCAGCCATGAGGTACTTGAGGCAAGGTAACGATTGATGCCACTGAGCAGGATTGGTTTCAGAGATTCGTGCCGTCGAGAGAACCACGCTTGTTAGTTCACGCTGCAAAACAAGCTTGTTTGACCTTTTTCTTTTCCTCGCCTATGATACAGTGCCACCAGGGGCTATGACAAGCCCAAAAAGGGTCCAGACGGAGATCAGCTCCAAAAAAAAACCCTGTCCCTCGCAGCCATGGGGTGCCATCCTCGGCAGTATGTTCGCCCACGATCGATTACCCCTCCTTGACACCAAACACGGACACGACGCCCTCGCCGTTGACGGAGACGAGCTGCCTCGCCTTGTCGCCCCACCGGACGGCCACGGCTGTGACGGAGCTGCGGAACGGCTCCGACCACGACTTGGAGCTCTTGGTGTACTGCTGCACCGTGATGCCGCTGGCGCCGGCTGTCGCGAGGAACTGGCCCGAGTAGTCCCAGGCGAGCGACTGCACCGAGCCGCCCGTCTCGAGGACCTTGGCCTTGGCCGCCTCGCCCTCCTTTCGCAGGTCGAAAATGGTCACAGAGCTCTGGCCCTTGGCCGTCGCGGCGACCCAGAAGCCGTTCTCGGAAAAGGCGAGCGCCTGGATGGGGGCGCCGAGGGAGAAGGACGCTGCGACGTCGAGCGTGGCCGTCATGAAGAGCTTGAGTTCGCCGGTGGCCGTGCCGGCGGCGAAAATGTGGCCATCCGGGTGGAAAGCGCAGCATGTGAGAGCTGGGGCGGGGGCTTGTTAGTACGGAAGTAGTAGCACCCAGGGAATAGCCAAACGTACCGGCATCGCCGTAGGTGCGGCTAACACGCGACATGGTCGACAGGTCGTAGAAGACAATACTCTTGTCCTGACCGACGAAGGCGAGCAGGTCGCCAAGAGGGTGCAGCGCGAGGGCAGTGACAGCACCGGCATTTTCGGCCAGCGAGGCGATCTCGCTGCCGCTCTCAAAGACCTTGACGGTGCCTTGCGTCGTCGAGAAGATGAGCTTGCTGCCCGTCCAGACGGTGTCGGTGATTGGCTGGCCGATCTGGACATGTCGCTCGAGCTTGTCAGAGTCGATCGAGTAGATAGCGGCATTGCCTTCGGGTCCTGCGATGGCCGCATAGTCCCCCTCGAGGGCGAGCGAAGAGGTGTGGGGGACGGGCAGCGTTGTGGAGGCCGTAGTCTGGAAAGCCGCGAGTTCCTCGGGCGTCGCCCAGCCTTCGGGAACGGGGCGCTTCTTGCGCGACTTGGAGAGCCTAAATTGGTATTTGTGGTTAGTGGATGATAGCAGGCAGTTGGACAGAAATGTACATACTCTTGGTGCTTCGCTGCCACCCTCTCGGCCACCTCCTCCGGAAGCGTCTCGACCGAATCGACGGCCATCGCATCGCCATTGGCCGCGCCACCCGTGACAGTAACCCTCGAAAGAGCGTCCCTCGCCTCGTCCCTCTCCCTCGTCAGCCGCGCAATGACGCGAACCGCAGCATCGTGCTGGTACAGAGCCGTCGCGAGCTCCTCACGGGTGCGGGCCAGCTGCTCCTTCAAGTTATACGTCTCGAGCGCCAGCGCGTCCCATTCGTTCTGGAAGGTCGCGAGGAGGGCGGGGATCGATGTCAGCGTTGGGGGTCGTGGCCGGACAATGTGCGACTGGGAGAGGGGGAGGAGGTCGTCGGTCGTCAGGGCTTCGCCGGTTCCGGGCTCGGTGCCATTCTCCGTGATGTACTTTTCGATGAGGCGCTTCTCGAAGACGGCGCCTTGGCCTAGGTTAGCGAACGTTTGACATTCAGGCGGTGGCAGGGTCGGAACATACCAGACTTCCTCGAGGCGACAGGCTCCTGGGGAGTCTCTCCCGAGACTATTCATCCAAGGGTTAGCGACGCGTTTGAGTGCCACAGTGGTGTCCTCGAGCAGACATACTTCCACACAACATGCTGATTGTGCTTCTTATCCTCTTTGGCGATGGATTGACGTGCTATTGGAAAGGAAACAATTCGTTGTAAAAAGGTAGGCGAGGCGCGGGGCGTGGCGGATGCAATTGCGACTGTCCAATATGCTAACGAGCCAGCAACTCGCTTTTCGAAAACAAATCGTCAGCCTCGCACGTTCGAACAGAAGCTTGCAGGGGCAGAGAGAGGCGGCTCCACCAGAGCCAAAGGCGGCCAATAGACGGCACGGGCCATCCAATTCACGTGAGGAAGAAGGAGAGCACCTGCCGCACTACAGTCTCTTATCGACAGTATCGTCCCAGCTCTTATCAGTGACGCCAAAATGGCGGGATGCGCCGATGCGCCGATGGAGAACGAGGGGGACCAGGCCGAGGACCACAACTCTGGCAAGATGAGACTTTCATAAACACACTCTTGCCCCTCTTCATGGTGCCTCTCCTCTCCTCCTTCTTGTCAGTGTCCGTGTACCTAGGTTGAAGAGCGACTCTCACAAAATATGGCGCCTATCACGATACCAGACATCACGGCGTTGCCTCGCCTCACAACAGGAGAGCAGACAGAGGTCCTCGATCTCCTTTTCGAGCCATCCCCCGCCTTGCACGCCCTCCTCGTCCCCGCGCTATCAACAACGACATATCAGTCGTACGACGAGCTCATCGATACCGCTCACTCGATTCTGTCGGACCTCGCCTCGGCCTCTCAGACAGCCCCCGAGCAGCGTGCCGCTCTCCACGCCATTCTCGGCTCTCACCCCCGCCTCGGCGCGAAAAAGGTCGATAGCGCCCAGTCGGTGGCGGAGCAGGCGAAGCTCCAGGGCAGCGAGGCAGAGGCCGCCCAGCTCGCCGCGCTGAATGCCGAGTACGAGGACACGTTCCCGGGGCTGCGTTACGTCGTTTTCGTCAACGGACGCGGCCGGCCTGCGATCATGCAAGATATGAGGCGGCGCATCGACCGCGGGGACATGATGCTCGAGGAGCAGGCGGCCCTGCAGGTTTGTTTCTCATGCTCGGTTTGGGGGGGGGGGTTCTCGTCTAGTTTGCTAACATGCTGCCAGGCCATGTGTGACATTGCCAAGGACCGCGCCGCTAAGCTTTCGGCCGCCGCGTGAGCGTCGTATCTGTCTCAATCTCATGACATGCTCATCACAGCAGTTCAAACACTCTGGGCAGTGAAACGAGGCAAGCAAACGCAAAAACGAGAAAAGACTTTGAATACACATCACTTCATATAGAAGCCGCGGCGGACCTTTCCAATGCTGTTAGCTATACATGAACGCCGCCAGAGATGCCTCTGCATGTTTTCCTTTTTTGTTTGTCCGACCGAATGCAAAAAAGAGTTGTGCCCCAATGATTCCGTGGAAAGAGAGAGATGCTTTCGCGAGCCGCCTCGGTGGGGGGCTTGGCCTTTTGTTGTGTTTCTCTTTCTCTTTCTCTCTCCTTCCTAGCTAATTGGGTTTGAGACCACCGAGGATGCAATGCAGGGTTGTTCGCCATGGTTTGTCGCAAGCCAAACGCCGTTCCTCTCATCGCCCAACCCACGATATGCCATCCAGCTCGTCCAGGCACTCCTCGTACGAGTGCTCGTCGTCGTCCGAGAAGTCCCCCTCTCTCGGCCCGCCAAAGATGGCCCCAAAGTCAGAATATACGTCCCCAGCATCGTCGTCGTCGTCGTCATCAGCCGAGCCGTACCGCCCCATGTCTTCGGGGAACGCCATCTCCTCATCCTCACCCACCTCCTCGACGCTGGCATCCGTGGGCCCCAGCACGGGCGAGCGACATTGTCTCGCCGCCGGCACCGCGGTGCTTCGCCCAACGAGCGTGTCGACCGCTCGCAACGCCGACGGAATCGGCGTCCGCATCTGTCCGTGCGTCGACGACGCATCATGGCCGCCCCCACCCCCGCCCGCCCTGATCAGGATGATCCTGTTAGCAGGTGGCCTCGCGCCCGGCTGCGCCGCTCCAGGCACGGAAACGGCGAGGAACCGCCCACCCGTGCCGGCCTGCTGCTCGCGCTGCATCCAGGCCGCCTGCGCCGCCGCCGCTGTCGTCGTCGTCGTCGTGCCGGCCATGAAGACGTTGCTCCGCTCTGACACGACCTCGCCGCGCAGGCGCAGACGGACCCTGTTCATGACGGCGGCGCGGCGCACGATGGAGCTCTGCGTGCTGGGACAGCGCTTGTTGGCGTCGGCCGAGGCGGCGAGCTTGATGAACCGCTTGTCGCCGGCAGCGACGGCGTCGCGGTTGATGATGTGCGTCGCCGGCTGCGAAAAGGGCTGCGACAGCCGGCTCGTGATGAGCTGCGTCCGCAGCCGGCGCTTCTTGCAGCTGAGCTCGGCCGTGTGGGGGCCGTCGACGTCGCTGCGAGCCCGGCACCGTTTCGACGGCGGCCTCGCGCGCGGCGCCTGCTGTGACGCCGGTGGAAGAAAGTCAAACTGCGCCGGGGGCAATGAGGGCTGGAACGAAAAGGCCGTCGTCGGCAGCAAAGGATCGTCATCGAGTTTCAACGGGTCATCGTCTAACGAGATCTGAGATGACGGCGGCGACGGCAGGGGCGACGGTTGCGAGGACGCTCGACCACCGCCTGGCGCCGACGAGAAACTGGACAGTCCGCCGTTGGCTAATGTGGCGGCCTGGTTGTGTCGGTGTATCGTGCACATGGCGTCATGGCAGAGCTGCGGGATCGGTGGTGACGGGGGCTCCATCTGGAAGTCGAGGCTGCGAGCGTCGCGGACGTTGGCCAGCAGAGGCCACGGCCCCAGAGCGCCGAGCGAACCATGGCCAAGCGGACCGCCAACTTCAACATCAGCCACCATGGTGTTGGCCGTACCACAAGTCCGTCCGACTTGCTATGCCAGGAGGGAGAAGGAAAGGTCGACGCGGACGAGGGAGCACAGCGCTCGCACCGGCATATTTATCGCCTGGTCGTAAAGTGTGTCACAACCAGGATCGGGACGGGACCTGTCGAAATCGTCGTGGGAAAGGCGATCGAAGTGGCCGGCAAGCTAGCTGTATAGTTCCAGATCTCTTCTTCGGGATGGGATCCAGCCGGCGATCCTCAAGGAGGGCGTAGCCGTGAGATGCAAGACGCTAAATCGAGCAGTCTTTGAGTTTCGTGACACCCTACCACTGCAATCGTGTAGGTGTGGGAAGGGTGCAGCAAGTGCACTCCCCGCTCGGGTGGGTGCAGGCGACAGAGAAGCCGGTGTGGAGTTTTGTTCTGCTTGACAAGCCGACTGCGAGTATCAACCACCCCCCAAGAATGTGGCTGTATGACGGTGTGACAACCGGTGCCGTCAAGTTTCCCAGTCTCCTTTTGTTCAACGTGGATGTTGTAGGTCTGGTCTGCGTGTGCGTATGTGTGTGTGTGGGTGTGTATATGGTGACAGAGACTGTGTGCGAGAAGGTGGTGAGAGGTCAGGATGGACGACGTAAGAGGGTGACAGCAGACGTAAGTACCAGATGGTTTGCTTATGCTAGACACCAGCAGCTCGCCAGTCACGCTCTCCCGCTCTCTCTCTCTCTCTTTCTCTCCCCTCCCACCCCAGACTCGATGCAAAGGCCATTTAAACAATCTATTTATTCACCCCCTCCCCTCGCTTTCCCCGGCCTTTTGCGTATGCACGAGGCCAGGTAGACAAGGGGGGAGGGGGTGCGGGCCCTCGAGGCGAAAGGGAAGGGACGGTTCCGCCCCGTCGGTCGCGGTGATCTCCCATTTCTCGCCTCTCATCCTCTGCCTGCTTCCCCCCCTCCCCTAAGCTGTGCTAGGCTAAGCGGCATCTCCAGGTGGCAGGGGTTGTGCGCCAGCGCGCAGTGACGAGGCCTGGGGTAGGTGGCCGAGAGACGAATGGGAGGCTTCAAGGGATGCTCGTACCGCATATGCCCCCCTGGTCATGCTCTTCCCCCCCCGGTCTGGGGTTGACGGGGGAAATGCAACCCAGAGAGGCCCCCAGGCCCCTCCCAGGCCGCGATGCACCGGAGTTCGTGGGTGTGTGTGTTTGGCCATGTCTTGGTCCAGGGCCGGAACACGGCCTGAGCAGCATGGAGAAAGAAACACACTTTTGCAGGTTGCTTGTGAGTCTCACGAGGAAAGGGGGCACGTGTGAGGTTCGATCAAGAGGGGTCTGATCTGGAGCGATCCAAAGTCCCTCATCAAGGGTCCATGGACTAGATGGGTGTGTGCTGTCCACGAGTGAGTGGAGCTGATGCGGCATCGCGCTGAAGAAGTGAAGGCCAGTCGACTGAGAAGAGCCTTCGAAGAATTAAGCAAACAGTGATGATGATGGTTGCCTTCTTAGCCAAGCATCGGCGACCTCAGATGGGTCCTAGCCCTTCGGGATTCCCTTCGATGATCATTCTCTTTTTTTGCCTCGATCGATGAAAAGAGCAAGACAATGGCCCACCCCCTCGTTGGTCCAGCTCTCCATGCTGTCTGTCCACACGGTGGTACGTTGCTAGCGTACGACAAAAAAGACTGATCATCAGAGACCTGAACTTGTCGCATGACTGTGGGAAGAGGCATGCAGTAGCCTTCTGCTGGGGCGGTGCAGACCGGGACATGCTTGAGAGGGGGGGGGGCGTGTGGTCCAGCCTCACCATTCCAGCACAGCAGCAGCAGCAAGCATGGTGATAAAGGGGAGGGAAAGAGAGAAAAGAAGAGGCCAGTCCAGTCAGTCAGCGTTTCAATCGCTCATTTCCATGTGGTAATCGAGGCAAACATTGCTTCTCCTGTGGTTTGCCCTGCCTGGTGTGAGTGGTCCCACGACATCGGGTCGTCCAGCAGCATGCGCCACTCGCTGTTCACGATTGTGTCTATCACCTCCAACCTTTCCCAGTTGGGAATGGAGAGTGAGAGTGAGAGAGGCAGCAGGACAAGGTGAATCAGAGCACGCGTCTCGAGAGGCTGAGGTCTCAGGAGGAAGGTGCTGTTCGTTGGTCGTGCAACAGAATGAGAGAAGAGAGCGGCGCCCATGCACCAGTGATTCACTCTGGCTGCTAGTGAATGAATTGACTGCTGATCATTCGGCCAAACTCGACGCCCCACGTATTCGATAATCTTCAATCGCGATGTGATGGAGGGTCGAGAACCAGCTAGTTGAAACGACGACAACGGGCTTGTCTGTTGTTTAGGGTGTGCGTGGGCAGTCCGTCTGCCATTGCGATCGTCCCTTTCTCAGCCAGCGCGCTCGCCACTAGTGATTTGCGAGGCTTGCTACCCCCTCGGCCATCGAAGCGGCCGACTCCGAGCCGCTCAGCAGTAGCAGCAGCATCATGATCTCAACAGCAGACAGGGAGGCGGCGAGGGAACCAGAGTCCGTAAGCAGAAGCTCGATGCCATGTCATCCATCCCCAAGGTCCTCCCATCCATGGTGAGAAGTGGTGAGCGAGAGGCTGGGCTGGCATGGACGCCTAACCAATCGCCAGCTGGTTCGTACGTCGCGCGTGACCCTGCGGAGTTTTTTTCCGCTGGCCCTCCCCATTCCTCTCAAAGTCTCTGTTGGAAACAGGCTGCATTTCCATCTGCAGCAAGGAGTAAGAGGCGTCTGTCTCCAAGGTACTGCAAAGGATAGGGCCACGGGGGCTGCTGTCAGGCTAGGCCTTGTTCTGGTGTGACCTCTCACATCTCACATCAATCTCTCTCCGTGTCTCCTCCACCTCCCAAGTCCCCCCCCCCCCCCCCCCCAGTAAGCCACGGCCATCTCCTCACTGCAACCTCGCTGGCGGGCGCCGCGGGCCTGCAGCAGGTAGACTTGGCCTGCCTTTCAGCTGGGGGGGGAACAACTCCAGCTCATTGGGACGCGAAGCCTCGAAGGTTCTTTTCGAAGCCCGGATACACTCGGCTTCGAAGGGGCGAGCGGGGTAGGGTTCCTGTGTTGTCCAGGAGGTTGCAGGGCAAGCGAGGATGCATCATGGTCCTTGCTTGGTTGGTCTGCGTGGCTTCTTGGCAACCGTGGATCTGGAAGAGGGCATGAATTGCGAAACTCGGATGGACCAAGTTGCTCATACTTGTTTGTAGAAGCCTCCTTGGTACTACACGCCAGCTGGCGAAGCGCTGTGGTGGAGAAGGAGGAAAGGCGGCAGTCGTTGATCTGTCGAGGCTGGACCGATTTGGCCTTCCCGCTAAACCAGACGGGACGGTGCGCTGTGCACAGTCTCCCTTCCGGGCATTACTGGGGGCGCTAATGCGCTGACTGATGTCGTCCCCAGGTCCCTTGGGGTACCTCGACGGATTGGTTTTTTGCCGAAAGGTACCTCCGCTCCCCGAAACCAGGTAGCGCGCGCACCACACGCAGACAGACACCACCCCGCCGACAGGTAGCATCACGACACTAAAAGCACATCATTCAACGAACGACGCCAGGAGTCGCATGTCTCGCACTTGCGGTGAAAAGTGGAAGAAAAACAAAAAGACTGCCAGGGCCGCCCTACTACGGGGACCTCAGACCCCCGCCAGACGTCCCCGAACGCCACTCAGATCGTCGGCGCCCTGACGCCCCAGCAGGCCAACAACGTCCCTGACAGCAGCCCTCGACATGCCCGAACCCAAGATCAACGCCAAGTCGCTCTCCTACTCGTCCGATCTCCCACCCTTTCTCCGTGCCCTCCACGCCCAATCCCGGGGAGACGCATCTGCCGGGCCAGACCCCATCCTCGCTGGCAGGCGGCGCGCCATCAAGAAACGGTCCGCCAGCGAGGAGGCAGAGGACCAGCCCCTGGTCGTGGACGAGAACGGCAACGTCGTGACCATCGATGACGACCGTAATGACCATGACGGGCCGAACAGCGACTCACAAGCACCTGACGATGCGTCGACAGCGGCTGGCAAAGATGCCGAGACAGCGGCAGAGCGGGAGAAGGAAAAGGTAGCCGGCATCGGCGCCGGGAGGAAACGCAAAGTGGGCAAGATCGTGGGCGCAGATGACGAAAAAAAAGACAATGGCGTGCCCACGAGAAAAGACGAGCTGGACATAGAAGACCCCGCGCGGAGCAAGGCCTCAGCCAAAGACAAGCCGAAGAAAAAGGCGAAGAAGATCAAGTTAAGCTTCGATCCGGAGTAAGGCCACTTTTGAGACATGCGCCCCAGCACAAGAGGCCGGGGGGCTGATGGCCTTAGCAAATCGCTGCTTTTTTTTAATTATCTTGGTGAAGCCGTAGATGAAGCTCGCGAGCGACAACCCGGATATCGCGGCTTTGCCTCAAACAAATCCCCCTCAAAAAATCTAGAGCGTAAAGCAAATTAAGCCGACAACCATAGTCACACACGGCGATGACGCGATTCGTGGCTTGCAACGGCGCGCAGTCGGGCGGTAATTCGCAAATCGGTGGCGGATGGGGTGGGAACAAAAAAAGAATTTCTATACAGCGGCCCGTCGAGGTATTCTACACACATAGGCTGAGCGTGCTCACTTCATCCCCAAGAGCACCTACCCCGTCTCCCCGCTGCACCGCGCGCCATACCTGACCCGACCCCGACGACACATCGTCTCTGCTTGCTCGCTCCAGGTGAACCAAATTCAACGCCTCCCCATTTGGCCCTTTAAAGGTAGCGGTACTCGGGCTTGATGAAGTCGGCAAAGGTCTTGACGTCCTCGTGGCCGTGGTGGTGGTCGTGGTGGTGGCCGTCGTCCTGGGGACCGACGTACTCCATGTTGTAGACGCTGCCGCACTCGGGGCAACGCTCGATGGGGCGCTCGCGAGAGATCTAGTACGCTTGTGATTAGCAATTGCATACCGAGACGCATCGCTGCTCGATGTGTCACGTACCGTCAGCCACTTGACGACGTGGGAGTCGGCGGGAGAGCCGGTGCAGCCAAGGTACTGCTCGTCACCAGCGGAGCGGACGCTGATGGGGTTCTCCATGGTGCCTGTATAATCGGTCAGCAGCCGTTTCTGCCCAACAAGTGTCCACCGTAACATCACATACCGGTGCGCGAGGCATCGAGAGGGCGCATGTCGAAGATGTCGACACCCTCCATCTTTCCGAGAATCTCGAGACGCTCGAGACCAGTGGACTGCTCGAGATCGGTGGGGATGGAGCCGGCCTGGGCACCGGGGCCAATGAGGTCGTCCTCGGTCTTGACCTCTGCGCGAAAGAAGATAACGTCAGCTCTGTTCATCTTTTGATCGTCGAGGACATGGTGTGTGGAACGTGGTTGGCGACGCAGGGCTGTGGCCTGAAAAGCAGTGCAGCCAGCGCCTGGTCGCGCAACAACGAATTCCAGACCAGTCGTGTCCTCAATTAATGTCGGCAGCGGTAGGAGTCTCACGGGAGAACGTCTTGGAAGGGTTGACGGCCCTGACCTCGGCGGCGGCAGAGGCAGACTTGACGGCGTCACCTAGAAAGGCAAAGAAAGCTTGGTTAGCCCAGCTGTTCCGACGTGGCGTGACGGCCCCCTTCCGGATCTGAAAGGAGGCCAATTGAAGTTCGTACGCTGGATGAAGGACGTCGTGAAGGCGCGCTTCGCCAGGGGGGCGACGGCCACGCGGCGGGCGGCGGTGATGGCGGATCGTTGGAGGAACATGGCGACGGCAATGGGTGGTTGTTGTTTCGCTGGATGACGCTGGTGAGAAGAGGGATTTGTCGATGGTCTGATTTGATGGTTTGACCTTGCTTGCTACGGCTGTCGCTCGGCCCGGGCATGAGCAAAGCTAATGCACTAGCCCGGATTGGTGCAGTAAGCGAAGGACCAAGTCACGTGTCGTCGCAACCCATCAACACCATTCCGGCGATGGACGATGCATAGCGAAGTGACAGAAATTGAACAGACGAGCAGTACCTTTTCGGCCCTTCATTTACACAGAGCGGTACTGCATCGTTTATCTCTTACGTCCATGCTTCCCAAATACCGGTTCGAACGTCTCAAGCTGTACATACATGTCTTCATACCACCTTACTCTACAATACACTTGAACCAATCCTTGCCCAAACTCAAACAAACTCAAACACGTATTTCCTCGCATCATTCAATCAACCAATCCCGACCACACCTCAAATGAACCCTCAATCAAAACATGTACTCAATCGTGGAAACAATACCGCAATGAACCACAGCAAGTCACACCATTCACGCAGCCCGCCTGCCCAGGCCTCCAAATCCGCTGCCACTGCGCCGGTTCCTGTCGCTGGTCGTAGGTAAATCGGTACGCTGCCTGTGGCGCGAGCGTTGACTTTCACGTCCGCGGTGGATGTCGCCGCTACGGTTGCGATTATTGCGGGCATATCTGTCCCTGACAGACGAGCCGCGAGGCTGCACTTGACCTCTGTGGTCGCGAGCAATCTGGGCCATCGTAACGTTCTCCCGTTGTCTCTTAGTTGGTCCGCGAACGTTATTGATTGCTGCAGTTCGTCGTCTGGGGATCAGGTCAGTCATCGCCGACTGTTGCGATGGCTGCGATGTGTTCTGTCCACGAGCCACGTCAGACCGAGCAGTGTGGTTGACTTGGTCACGCAACAGCGCACGACTATCTCGAGCGTCCCGCTCCATGCGGCTGTGCGAGTGGGTGTTGACACTTTCGCTGCTTTCGAGGAAAAGAGTTTCCTGATCCTCCATGACGCTGTCCTCGGTGCCAGCATGATCGTGGCCCTGGGCAGTCTCAAAAAGGCGCATGAGTTGATCGTCTTCGCCCTCGCCTTCTTCCTCGACTTCCGCCTCAGCAGAGCCTTGATCAACCACTTCGCTTCTGTTCTGGCGCTTTTTCTCGCGACTAGAGTACAGCTTGCCCATGCCCTGAATCTTGGCGCCATGAATAATGACCTGGCGCATGAGGGGGTCCGTCCGAATGGGCCCCGTCGGCTTGCCAGGAGTGGTGTCGTTGGGTCCTGACATCCGGAAGATCCAGCGGTACGTATGCTCGCCATCCGTCTCACGGTGCATCTTGAACGCTTCATCAAGTCTCTAGCGGATGAAATCGATCGGTGACATGTGGAGGCCGATGGCACCAGGTGCGGTGTCGTGGCGGATGGCGAGCAGCCGTGTCAGCTTGAGGCAGATTGAGTACAGAAGCCAGCGCTTGCACAGACCCTGCTTGGGCATGAACTTCTTGGATATGAGCTGGTTGGGGTGAATGGTCACTCCTTCGAGAAAGCACTTTCGGATCAGTCTAATCTCGCTGATGGCCGATCTGAACTGCCGTTGTTCAAGTCTGAACTTTTCCTTATCGTCGGCGGTGGCGGTTCCGGCGGTTGCCTTTTGACGACGCCATGAATCTCTCAGTTTGTCCCTCCAGTTTGAGATGGAGAAATCCGACGAGTTGAGTGAAAGCCATTCGGGGTCCCAATAAGGATCGTCTTCTTTGATGGGCTTGATGGGTACGTCGCGGACGATACCTGGGCCCCTGAAGAGGTGCTTTGTGCTAGGGAGCTCTCCAGCACGCATGACGCCAGACATGCGAAGTGCTTCTTCCAGAGTAGGCTCTCTGCCCTGCTTCTTGAATTCGGACCATATCAGAGTTTTGGCATTCGGCTGGATTGCACTGTGAATATCATGCTTGTTGCGAAGTTCCACCAGTTTGGCCAAGTCTTTCCGTTTCTTGTCACTCAGTCCTTTGGTAGCCATCTCAGCCTGCATCGCCTCGATGGAGTTGACGATGCGTTGCAAGTCGTCGGCTTCAATGTCGCCACGGCCTGATTCTGCCATGTTCATAATCCGAACATTGAGGTTCGTGTTGCCAGGACCTGTCTCTGCCTCCCAAATATCCGATTCGAGGAGCGCCTGCGCGTTCTGGGGGGGTGCCCGGCTTCCGCATTCTCCTGCGGTCTCTCCGGACGGCGGCATGTTGGCCCGGTTGTACTTTGACGACTTTCTTGTTAACGTCTTGAATTTTGGGCGAGCCTTTTACGCGCGCTTGCGGGGTGCTGTCCGACTTGATGGGGCGTCGAAGAGTTGCGGTCGGACAAGAGTGGCATAAAAAGAGTAGCAGCTGCGTTGCACGTCAGATGACTTCGCGAGCACGTCCAAGGCAGGCACGTCAGGGACTCACGCCTTGTTCAAGCAATCCTTGTTCGACTTGTTCTTGAACTGCGGGCATAAACCAAACCGTAAAGGTTGTATTGGGATGGCTGGTGCCACGCGTGACGAGTAGAGAGGTCTGTGTCGAGATGCGGCAAAGCTTCAAAGAACCAGGGTGATGCCAGCGGTGACGGTCTAGCCAAGTATTTCGGAGTCCAAGCTATGGGTGATGCCTACGTCGGTGGTGGGCAAAGGAGGATCTGGCGGTCTTGTGGGCTCTGTTGCGTTGACAACAGAGTTTCTGGCGCCGTTGCTATCGACGCGTCGACGACGCGAGGCGCGCATCACAACATGCTTCACTTTTTTATGCACGTGACAATGTGGGATGGACTCGTTCTTGATATGATGGATGGTTTCATCTGTATTTACTTCCGTGCCTAGAAGGAGCCCATGGAGAGCAAGATCGACTGCCAGCTAAAGAACAGACTTGAATCGGTCACTGAACCCTTTTGATATTCCCCCTTACTTCTGGCGAGACTCTTCATTCACGACCTGAACGTAGGTATGACTAGGACCGTGAAGCATATTGCTTCAGCTGAAGAGCGTATCACTGCTCGTTTTCGAGTTTTTCAAAGATGACCACCTCTTACTTGGACAACGGCGTGGGATTCGAGCCAAGTGCTGATAATCAACTCGTCCGAAAAAGTGTGTTAGCCAAGACATTGGTCAATCCACCTTTTAGCCAGTTCGTATCAACTTTATAGCAAGTAGCAATCTATTACTTGGTCGTCGGCCACAATTTCCATGCCAAAATGCATCGCCAATAGCTGCACTAACTACGTTGAAGATGGAGGAAACCAACGTCAAACTCGTGCTGTTCGTGAACCTGGAGGTCAAGTCATGTTACCCGTCACAACCTCGCCAACCCATCATAGTCGTGCTTGGAACTGAAATAATGAATAGAATAAAAAGTCTAACCCCATGCTCATGCCCAGTCTAACATGTCAGGCACCTTCCCATGACAAGCCCTGCACAGCATATTTTCTTTCGTAATCACCCCCCAGCATGGCACTCGGGTATATCTCATGCAATTCACGTCCATCCTCAAA